TCTTGGTGTCTGCGGCTGGGTAGGTCTCTGCGCAGGCCTTCTTCAGCAAGGGCAGTTCTTGCTCGATGACGACGTCGTATTGGCCTTCGGAGACGCCGTCGCGGTAGACGATGATGTTCTCTGGGAGGGCGTTGTTGTTGGCGTGCGCCCAGCGCTGCAAGCGGGCTTTGAGCATCTCGTCCAGATCGGAGACCATTTCCTGGCGGGAGGCTTGGATGCGGATGTCAGCGGGCCATTGGCCTAAGGATGCATCGACGGAGGCGACCATGCCGGCGACGCTTGGGGCTTCGGCGGAGGAGCCGGGGGACGGGTGGGTGACGTCGATGCCGACGAGCATTGTTTTGCCTTCAGCGACGATGCCCAATTCGCTCGCGTTGAGGGTCTGGTTAGCTCCGCCGAGCTTCAGGTTGAACTTGAGGCCGACATTGGCGTAGTACTGGTCGTTGGCTCCTCTCAGCTTCTCGGCGAGGACGTTGATGTTGCGCACGCCCCGGCGAACGTCACAGATCTGCTTAATGCAGTTGTAGGCCTCTGCGTCGCTGCTGTAGAGAATGGTGAGGATGAGAGTGGGATCGTATAGGCCCATTAGCTCGCCCACTGCTCTGTCAATCTCTCCCTCGTGGTCATTCCCAGTCAACCTGATCATCTTTCCGGGCTCGGGAGCTGCAGCAGCAACACCAATCTCGTTCAGCTTGGCCGTGAAGGCCTGAAGAGAAGCATTCAGTTGGCTCGGGTTCTCAAAGTGAGGTCTGCCCTTTTCACTATCAATATAGAGCCAAGTCCAGGAAGGCAGCTTCGTAGGTGTGGAGAACTTGATTGCCTTCATGTTCCAGCTGCCATCCATGGTATCGATGTGTCTCTGTTTCGACTTGGCGTCCTTGTAGTATACCCGCGGCGCAGAGAGAACGCGACCAGCAACAGTGACAAGCTGGGGATCTGGTTGCATGCCAAAGTTTGCCTAATATGATCAATCAATCAACAAGACCTAACGTGACACTGATTAGAGAAAACTTACAAGGGTGGGGTTAAGAGGACCCTTGAGGCCGAGGACAGCAGTGCCCTTGGAGACAATCGAATTTGCGTTTGAAGCAGGACTTCGGACGGCGAAGCTCAGCATTTTGCGTGTTTGCATTGGAGTAAGCTTGGAGTTTGCGGGCTGTCCGGGTTCTACCAGACAGACTTCAACAGGCAAGTAGGACGGGTTCTGCCTGGTGCCAACGTTGACCACCGGCATCCTGGGATCCAGGGTCTTGTTGTACTCTGCCAGTCTGATCAGTGCTGTTTTTGTTCAATGTCTGTTCTTCAGTATAGGGGAATCTACCTTGCAAGAAGAAATCCGAGACGGTGATGTACCGCCCGGCTGGCGCTGGGCCAGCTTTCGCAGGTTTCTTGCCTTTCTTGCCCTTGGAGTCTCCAGGCTCGCTCTTCTGTCCAGGCGCCTCGAGGAAGAACTGAACGTCTTTTGGGCCAGCCCCATGCCTTGCGACCTTTGGGGGATGAGGAAGCGATGCGCCATCAGCCCGAGTTGCGACGCCTGCAACGGTCTTGATTCTTGGTACCACTTGTCCTTTTTTATTCTTCCTGACGATATGGGTTGCTTGGATCCGCAGCTTCTTCAGAAAAACCTCCAGTTTGTAGATATTTCCATTGCTGCCACGTTGGTACTCGTTGATCACGTTGGCCAACGGCCCTTCCTGGTAACAGGCGGCGTATTTGACCTGAACATTGATCAAGATACGAGCAGTCGCAGCCCGAACGCTCACGAAAAAGCCTCGCAAGACTTCAAGGCCTGCGCCAAGGTCGCATCTCTCTGCTGCATCTGGATGGATTGCAAAGTGTTTATTTGCACCAACGGACGCAACGGCCCTGTCCGTCTTCGGATGATGGCCCATGACGATGTTCATCGCCTGGAGGACCTCTGCCTTGGACTCGAACATGGCGGAGGCATTCGCCGACGTCAAATAGTCAAGGATATCGCCGGGGTTCAGTCTACCTGTAAACTGGCAGTTGACACGATAAACCCTAGGCTGCTCGGGGTAGTCGTCTTCGTGCTCGTCACGGTAACGGACGTCGTATTGTCCTTGACTGGGAAGCTGAACCCTAGAGACAAGGGTGGACTTGTAGTCCGTGGCGATACTATTCTGATATTGCAAGAAGTGCTCGTCTAGTAAGAGCCGGATGATTTGCCGGGCTTTCTTTCCAGTAGGCTTGGTTCTAGCTGAATCGGCGACGATATCGACATTGTAACGGAACAATTCCTTTCCCACAGACTTCAACTCGAAGTAATTGGCATAGAGCGTCACTGGAGAGCCCTGAGTTCCATATCCTGGACGCTCTGGGTAACGAGCCTGGCCAACAGTTTTCTGTCGTTTTGCTACCAGAGCCTTGGCTATGGCGGCCTCAGTCTGCTCGACTTTTGGGCTAGGAGCAACAACCCGGTCACCCTGACTAAATCAATGAAAAGCATCAACCATACGCTGTTATATATAAAAGGAAAGAATTGATGGCCAACATACGAGAATATCCTGGGCCCTTGGTCGCCGCGGCCACCTCTAAAACCCCCGCCTCTACCCCCTCTGCCTCCGAAGTCCCCTCTGCCGCTGCCTCTGAATTCGCCTCTTCCGCGACCTCTGGGTGCATCTCCACGACCTCTTGAGTCTCCTCGAAAAGAACCGCCTCTTGACTCGCTTGGGCGGAATGGAAGCTCCATGGTTCCTCCTCGGCCGCCTCCACGTCCAACGGCGCCGCGGTCTCCACCGCGTCCCCGTCCGCGATCGCCTCCTCTACCCCGTCCGGGCTGGGAATTCCCAGCACCTCTTGACGACATGGCAGAATTGAGCCTGAAAGCGAACTAGTGGTGAGCTCCACCACTTGTATGGAAGAAAACTAAAATGTGAGAAAGGAATGGTCTAAGGAAGATTGGGTTAAGCGCTGGGGACATTTTAGAGCTATCCCCAGCTCCAAGCTTGGCTGCGCTTTATATATTGCACATCAGGCGGTTACTACGGCGATATGCAACTGGTGAGAAAGAGAATGAGTTGCCAAGGAATTGCACATCTCCTATGGCAATTCAGACCAATCGAAACCTGGAGTGTGCATCACAAACTGTAGGAGGGTGGCTACTGACAGATAGGTCTTTGTTGGCTGGACCATTACCTTGCCTTGTAGCTTGGGAGATCGTTGACAGCACACAAACGGGCCTTGTGAGACTGTCTTGCTTCAAGTAGGCACAATGTCTGGAGATTACCCCAGTGTCCTCGCAACATGATGGAATTGGTCTACTGAATAGGCGGAAAGCACGCACTGAATGACGTCCGTTTCCCAGCTGTTCCGGACCCTCTTGAACATGGCATCATGGTGTCATTCTTTGATGCATCTGTGCCTTGACAGGATAAGTAGATATGTATGCAGTACTCCATAGACATTTTCTGATAGAAAAAGAGACATGGATTCCTTGGTACTCATGCTAAAGTTCTCGAAGGTACTACTACTTCATAACTAGGTATTTGTAAGACTGCAGAGGATCTTCCTGCTGTCTAGTGTCGACGCACAGCAGCCACTCAGGCCACCAACAACTTAACAAGCCTTTCTTGAACAGGCACTCGCTATTTCAATGGTTAATTGGTTGCTTGGTGCTGACTGGATCACAGGGAAGTGGAAACGGCAGAGTACAGGCGTTGCGGCTGTGCTATTTAGTTAGTTTATCTAGTTAGTGGCTTTTCGATGACTCATTTCAATATGAAGCTAGAGAGGTACCTTGGATATATCTATCTAGCGTTGGGCGATCGACAAATCAAATTCCTTCCTTTCTCCTTTTCAGAAACAAAGAAACTGGCGGAAAAGCATGCGATTGTGGCCTAGATCCTGAATGGTCTCTGCCATAGACTTTGCTACGATGTCTTGTCTTGGTCCGCGTAACAAGGTAGCTGCCTGGAACCCTGCATCTAAGTAGTTCTGCTTCATGCCCGAACTGCTCGTATTGCACATGATAGAGGACTATTATCAATATTTGGTTAAGCTCAGTGGACACAGTACCATATCTGACAATAGGTGTGCCTCCTTCTCGTAATCTAGTCGATGCAAAGGATCATTTATTATTAATTACCAGGTATGAAGCGAAGTACTCAGTAGAAGCCACAGTAAGAAACGCGTTTAGGCCTGAGGCAGCAAACGTGGTGATAACGGAGATAATTCGTAGATAATCTGGATTCTCCTCATCAATTGGCACTCTGCCACAGTTGACCATCCTTTCATTATTCCCTTTTTTCTCGCCTGTATCGTTAATACTCGTTCTCGAGAGCTGGCGCATCTTATTGAATGAATGCCCATCTCATCCGCGGGTCGCCATATCCCAGAAGAATGAAGGATTGGTCCGTCGCCCCCCTGTTTCGATGAAATCACTTGATAGCCCGTCGACCGCTTGTGCCCGCGTCCGCCCATCCGTCCACGCTATCATTTCCCTGCCTTCGGTCGCCTTCTGCGATTCTTATTATTAACGCACAATAGCTTATGCGCTTCATATCTGTGAAGTTTGCGCATGCTACCAACAGCAGGAAAGCAGTGTCGCATAAATCACCAACGAGCTCGACTTGAGGAAACGCCGCCGCGACCTATCAACCCCACTAAAGCTTAGCAATTCAGGCTCATTGTTTGCTGCTGAACCGTCCGCCGAAACGTGGTCACAAACTCAGCAGTAATTGCACCTGCGCCCTCTTCTCGGCACTTCGAGAATTTAATCTGCCCAAGTCGAAGAGACGGCGTTGTGCACACCTCTGGTCAGGTACCTCTGAAATCGAGCGCGCCACACACCCGACGGACATTTCACACCTGGATTGAGATACCCCATTGTCCGATACGTGCTTGGTGCCAGGTCTCGCTCGGAACTCGCTGTTGCGCCGTGCTCATTTGGACTCGCGATCGTGAAGTGAAACTAGTTGGCCTACGAGCGAAGACATAGCGACAAATCTAGCACCACCGTTGACCAAGGTCTTATCTCCGAAATGTCGCCTACTCCACCATCTACCTCCTCGAGCGTTGGCGCCGTTTCGCCAGAAGGTCAGTTTAGGGTCATCCGAAAGCGAAACAGGGTGCCACTTTCTTGCGGCCCCTGCCGGCATAGAAAGTGAGTCTTCGCCTTTTTCCTCTATCTGAAGAAGAGCATACTTTAACACCGTGTCATGAAAGACTGAAATGCAACCGCGCCCACCCATGCGAGAACTGCGTAAAGCGAGGCGATGCTTCTTCGTGTACCTATGCTCAAGTAAGCGCGCGAAGGAAGAATTCAACACAGACCTCAGCCTCGAGTTCCCCAGATGATATGCAGAACAGAATAGACCGACTCGAGAGCTTGGTACTGTCCCTGATGACCAACGGATCGCAGTCCGCAGGTCCGGCAGCTGCAATGGCAGCAATTTCCGGAACCAGCAGTAGTGGAGGCTCCCTCATTCAGGGTCACGACATCGATCTGGACGAGGAGACATCAAATGCTCCGGAGGAGAGCGATACGGAGCAAGTTACCAAGTCATTTGGTATCATGAAAGTCGACAACAATAAATCATACTATATCAGCGATGCGCACTGGGCTTCTGTCCTCAACGATGTGAGTCGGCCCTTGACCATACGCTCATAAGTTCTCTTTATTCACATGAATCTACAGATCGCCGAAGTTCGTAATTACTTCCACACGCACAAGAAGCAGTATGAGGAGCAAGCAGAGAAGCTCAAGACAACCAAGCTGCCGAGCGATGTCCCGGGCTCCACCCTGCTTCTTGGGGCCATGAAGCCTGCCAGCCGCGCAGAGATTATGTCTTCCTTTCCCTCGAGATATACAACAGATATGCTTATTGCTCGCTATTTCAATAGCTATGATCCAGCGACTCGTGAGTACCGACAGAACTAGAGAACGTGCATGTAAATGCATCTATGACTGACCATGAACAGTTATTCTTCACGGTCCGACGTTTCAAGCTCAGGTAAGCATAGTTGTTCTCCTGCCGGCCGTTCTACCTTTTGACTTTCTCCCCAGTATAACAAACATTGGGAAGATCCTTCTCAAACGTGCATCGTCTGGGTGGGCATGCTGTTCGCCATGATGCGACTCGCTATGCTGTCATATAACCAAGAAGGGGACGAGCCACCCGAGTTTCGAGGGAAATCCTTGGACATGGCTGGAACTTTTCGAAACCTGGTCGCTCAATGTCTGACTCTGGCCGATTATACCAAACCTTATCCCTACCTGATCGAGACATTCATCTTCCATCTTCATGGTGACTTTCGTCAAACGAAGGAAGCAGATGTTTCTGTCTGGGTGCTTGTAGGTGTCGTCGCGAGGCTAGCGATGAGAATGGGCTACCACCGGGACTCAAAAGTTTTCCCCAACATTAGCCCATTTCAAGGTGAGATGCGCCGACGCGTATGGGCTTTCGTGCGGCAATCGGACTTGCTCTTTTCGTTTCAGGTTGGGCTTCCTAGCATGATTCGCACTGTGGATAGTGATACGGAGCTTCCGCGGAATCTATATGATGATGATTTCGACGAAAATTGCAAGGAACTTCCTCCCTCACGACCGCCGAATGAACCGACACCTATCTCTTACCTCATTGCCAAAGCCCGTCTGGCGTACGTATTTGGCCGAGTTACCGAGCTCGCCTCGAGTGTGCAGAGTGAATCTTACGACAAGGTGATGGAGTTGGATGCTGAGCTTCGCCGTGCTCGGGACCTGATTCCGGAGCATCTTGTCGTTCGTCCTTTTGAGGAGTGTCAGTTGGACCCGTCCAATCTGATTATGTCGCGCTTCGGTGTACGTCAATCACTTGCCAATTATACCGTGAGTTGTAGTACTGATTCTTAGCAGATAACGAGCGTCTACCATAAAGCGCAGTGTGTCCTCCACCGGCCTTATATCGTTCTAGCCCGTGGAAATCCCCGATTCACCTACTCACGCAAGGCTTGCATCGATTCAGCCATGGAGCTGCTGCGGTTTCAGTCAATGCTACATGCGGAGACAAGGCCGACGGGACGTCTGCGCACAAAACAGAATCGCGTAAATTCCCTCAGCTCCAATGATTACTTGCTTGCTGCAACTATTGTCTGCCTTGACCTGTATCATGGACTCAAATTGCAAGCCGGTGGAAGAGATTCCGGCGACGCCTTTGCGTGGGGCAGGGAGCGACGACAGGAGATGATCGTGGCATTGCAGCGTTCTCGAGAGATTTGGGATGAACTTCGTGACGAGTCACTTGAAGCTTGGAAAGCCGCTGGCGTTATCGGGGTGATGCTTGCCAAATTGAATTTAGGGCTTCCAGACAGTAATGCCACTGCGCCGGCCTTCGAACCTCAGGATGAGAAGCAGAGCGCCGCAATGACTTTGGGATTGTTGAGCAGCGGACTGAGCGCCGTAAACTCAGGATCCCCAGCATTCAATGAAACTGGTTTCAAAATGTCAGAAACGCCTTCTGCCCCGGGGGCATTGGGGACCACGGCTGAGGTGCCCGGAGCTCTGTCCCCGTTCAGCACAATGTTTGGACAATTGCCTGATATGCAGCTGAACTTGGACTGGGTACGCTTGCCCCTTTTCATGCCTTGACACCACTTGGACATCACTAACACCCACGAACAGGATTCTTGGGACACTTATATTCAGAGTTCGAATCTCGACATACCGAACCAATGGTGGCCGACGTTCGATGGACAGCAGCAGCAACCATCACCACAACCGCCACTTCACCCATCATTACAAGGTCAGGGGTCCTTGTCAGCAACACAATTACCCTCCCTGCAGCAAGGCAACACTGCAGATAATATGCGACCTTTGCCTCGCTTTTCCAATGTCTTCTCGCCAGACCCGGTGAAATATGAGAGTCCGGGCCTTAACGGGCCTTACGACAACAATTCTTCTCAAAAAAGTAACAACGCTTCAGGCGGAGGCATCTTATAACAGTACTCATGTCGATCGCAAAAGCAATTTGTTTGAACATTCAGTTGTCCAGCGATTCGTTTCTTTTCAGCAGGATTATCTTCTCCCACCCCGGTGTATGGTTTTGGAGGTGTGGCGTTTCCTCAGGACTCAAATCGCACTCGCTCTTGTTGGGATGTCTGGAAATGTACAAATCCAGAAGGCTGTATATATCCTGTTTTCTCCACTCGATTCGCACAATTTCACTGTGAATTACTGCCTCAGTAGTTGGCACTAGGACAATTTCATTCTTCTTTTTTCGCACAAGAAAAAATCTGGTGAAAAGATCAAGCCTTTCGTTCTCTCATTCATAAAATCAATCAGTTTCATAATGGCGCATGGCCTGACATAGTCACGTGACATTATCTGGTCCGATAAGGCGAACTTTTTGCTGAACGGATTCTGTATATCTGCCTGCCTTTGCCCCCAGTCATATATTCCAACTCAATTCACAAGGACACAGAAAATGTAAGGAAATAGCCTATCTGTTTTATACGACTGCTGTGATAGATATTCCTCTATCAAGGACGCCGTGACTGATTGCTTCTCTTTACAGGTATTGCTTTCGGCGAGCAGCCAGTCGCCTCCTGTCTCTGCCGGTCACCGCGCCGGCGTGGTCAGCCAGGGCCCTCGCACCTCGCGTTCCTCTACCCGTATTATCCCCTCTGCAATCTCAATTAGCATTACATACGAGATGGTTCAGCGACAACACCGCCAGCCGGGATCCCACGAGCTCACCAGAGGACGAGGATCATGATCCTTCCGAAATCATTTCGGCTGAGTCCGATGCTCACGATGAGCAGCCTCTGAAACCTAAGAAGCGGTTCCGAGTCATGGAACGTCCCCCGCCGCCTAAAGAGAGAGTATACATTGGTAATCTCTTCTATGATGTGACGGCGGAAGATTTGAAGAACCACATGCAGAAGTTTGGTGTTGTGCAGAGAGTCGATCTCATCACTGATCACCGAGGAATGAGCAGAGGGTGAGTCCAGATCCTACTGTTCTCTGCTGAAAGGAGAATTCTAACAATGTGTCTTGTTTTACCGAATAGGTTTGCATACGTGCACTTTGACTCTACTGATGCCGCCAGACGTTGCGTCGAGGCTATGCATTTGCAAGCCTTTGAGGGCCGCCGTGTAATCGCGCAATTTGCGAGCAGCGGGGGCGGATCCAAGCCCTTGCAGCCCGTTTCGAGGACGCTGTACCTCGGCAACCTGTCGTTTGAGATGACCGATCGGGATCTGAACGAGCTCTTCAAGGATATCGACAATGTGATCGATGTTCGGGTATCGATTGATCGACGCACAGGGCATCCTCGCGGCTTCGCTCATGCAGAATTCCTCGATGTCGAGAGTGCTCAGAAGGCTTTCGAGATTCTCAGTGGGAAGGCACCTTTCGGTCGACGAATCCGCGTGGACTACAGCAATACCAACAGGAAGGGTAATCGTATCGAGGAGGCCCCAGAGGAGCATTAACCGCTCACATTATTCATTCAATTGGATTCTGGCCTTTTTTTTATGCGATTGGTTGTGTTGCAAAAATTTCGACGAATGATGTAAGATTTTGCATAAGATGTATACTATAGCAGCCATTCACAAGTGTTCTATACACCATAGAGCTTTGGTATCTCTCAATTTGAGAAACATCTGAATAACCGTCTACACCTGATAAAACGGCTTGGAGTACCATACTATAATAACTAGACAGGAAATAATGGACAGGAGCGTCCTGATATCAAAGCACGTGACTTATCGGCGGACCTCGGCATCAGCAACTCTCCGATCGGTTTCAAACCCCACGTTTTTGGCGGAGATGCCGTTGCCATCTACTTCTCCATCCTCCTCCTCCTCCCTTTTATCCTACGGTCTATTGAAGCTGATCGTTGGTTATTCAAATCCTTCTTAACTATTGATGTTATTTTTTCAGACGGGTTCCTTGTGAATTTATCATCATGTCGTTCCTTGGTGGCGCTGAGTGCTCTACCGCGGGAAACCCGCTCACACAGTTCACCAAGCATGTGCAGGACGACAAGTCACTCCAAAGGGACCGCCTTGTTGGCAGGGGTCCCGGGGGCATGCAAGAGAGTATGCGGTCGAGGAGTATGATGGGTGGTCAAGATCAGGTATGAAAATATCACTCTCTTTGAAGCCGCAGCTAGTTATTCTAGCTAACAATGGATTGGTAATCTAAGTAGATGATGGACGAGTTCGCCGCACAACAACCAGGCCAGATTCCGGGGTCAGCGCCGCAACCATTTGCGATGGAACAATTAAGGCGCGAGCTAGATCACTTCCAGACCACTCCGCCGAGGACGGGGTCTCCCGGGTGGGCTGCTGAGTTTGATACTGGCGAACACGCCCGGATGGAGGCTGCCTTTGCCGGCCCTACAGGACCTCTAATGAACAACGGGTCCGCATTCACACCTGCAGAGTTTGCTCGCTTCCAACAACAGAGTCGGGTCGGCCTGCCACAAACGTCAAGTCCAGCCACGTCCGCGTCGCCGATGATGGCAGGTTATCAGCGTCCAATGGGCATGGGGTACATGGGTATGGGAGGAATGGGCATGATGCGTCCATCATATACACCCATGGGCATGCAACAACAGCCAGCGGAGGCCGCTACTCAGGACAAGGGCAAAGGCCGCATGGTCGAGCTCGATGATGAGAACTGGGAGGCACAGTTTGCCGAGATGGAGACGGCGGGCAACCAGACCCTGGACGATGAGGCCAACGCGGCTATGGAGGCGGAGCTGAATGATCTCGATAGGTCAGTCCCCACTACTGACACCGGTAATGCTCAAGATTACGGTGCTTTTGAGAGCGTATGGCAAAGAGTCCAAGCTGAATCGGCGGCAAGCAGGAAACTGGCGGAGGAAGATGCCTCTTTCGATATTAACGACAGCATGCACATGGGAGACCTTGGTGAGTGGGACGGCTTTGACAATCTCCACACGCGTTTCCGAGATCCTCAGTTGGGCGATTACATGTTCGAAGAGGAAAACGTGTTCCGGAATGTGGCCAATCCCTTCGAAGAAGGCGTCAACATCATGCGCGAAGGCGGCAATCTTTCCTTGGCCGCGTTGGCGTTCGAGGCGGCCGTTCAGAAGGACCCTCAGCACGTTCAAGCCTGGACAATGCTGGGATCCGCACAGGCGCAAAATGAGAAGGAGCTTCCTGCTATTCGTGCCCTGGAACAGGCGCTCAAGGTCGATCCCAACAATTTGGACGCACTCATGGGGTTGGCTGTTTCGTATACAAACGAAGGTTATGACTCGACAGCGTACCGTACCCTGGAGCGTTGGCTTTCTGTCAAGTATCCTCAGATCATCGATCCTAAGGATCTGTCATCCGACGCAGACTTGGGCTTCACAGATCGCCAGATTCTACATGAACGGGTCACCGACCTGTTCATTAACGCCGCCCAGCTTTCACCTTCTGGAGAGCAAATGGATCCAGACGTTCAAGTCGGGTTGGGTGTTCTCTTCTACTGTGCAGAGGAATACGACAAGGCTGTCGACTGCTTCTCCGCCGCGCTGGCATCTACTGAGTCGGGCACTGTGAATCAGAAGGAGCAGCTTCACCTTCTCTGGAACCGTCTCGGAGCTACACTTGCCAACTCCGGTCGTTCCGAGGAGGCCATTCAGGCATACGAGCAAGCTCTTACAATCAACCCCAACTTTGTCCGTGCCCGGTACAACCTTGGCGTATCCTGTATCAACATTGGTTGCTATCCCGAGGCCGCACAGCACCTTCTAGGTGCTTTGTCTATGCACCGTGTCGTCGAACAGGAAGGCCGGGAGCGAGCTCGCGAGATCGTTGGCGGTGGTGAGGGCGGTATTGATGACGAACAACTTGAGCGGATGCTCCATATCAGCCAGAACCAAAGCACCAACCTGTACGATACGCTGCGGCGTGTATTCAGCCAGATGGGTCGTCGGGATCTGGCGGATATGGTAGTGGCAGGGATGGATGTGAATGTGTTCAGGAAAGAATTCGATTTCTAGGGATGATGCCTCCTGCGCTTTCTGTCTTATAGAACGGACGGGCAAGATTTAGCATAATCGGGCATTTGTATTTCGTGTCTCAGTTGATGTGTTGGATACCATGTGTCTTTACTTCGTACCCTCAAGGTCAACATGCAGCGATTTTGATTCGTACCCTGAGAAATCCCTATCGAGCAATAGAAGGTATATTCTTAGTATACTCCGTAAGCTGATATCCATCTCTTTTCCAGCAGTATTAGTATGTCTCGCTGCGCTGTCTACCGTCGCTGATTGACTAAATGATCGCTGATGATAAACCATCTATTATTATTTTCTATATTTTAAAGCCCAAGAAGATACAGATGTTTAGATGTTGCTCTCGATAAATGAAACGGCTTKACTTCTCGGGAATCATCCCGGGCTTGCGTCATTTGTAACCTCGGAAGTGCCGCAGAGCATCTCCTCATGCATCTCCTCATCCATCGCCATTCTCCGGAGCTTCAACTTCGCAGAGATGGGCTTCTATCAATGAACTGATACTTAACACATCAATGAACTGATACTTAATACATCAATGATCTGATAGCTAATAGATCAAATTGGATTGAATCCCTGTATCTGACGCACCAGGATGGCTGTCGTTACTGGTGCTCAACTGATTGCCCGGACGCTGCGCGATCTAGGCGTCACTGTGATATTTGGGATAGTGGGCCTTCCTGTGGTTGACATCGGCGAGGAGGCCATCAATTTGGGGATTCGCTTCATTGCTTTCCGCAATGAGCAGGCATGCAGCTATGCAGCGAGCGTTTATGGGTATCTGACAGGACGACCTGGTGTTTGTCTTGTCGTTGGAGGACCAGGAGTCCTCCATGCCTTGGCTGGGGTAAGTGAGCGGGGTCCAGTCCAAACCAAATCATCAAGCTGGGACTGACAATTTCTCCTGTAACGCACAGATTGGCAATGCTTCCGCGAATAACTTCCCCCTTCTTGTACTCGCCGGATCGGCGGAGACCTCAGGCGTCACAAAGGGCGCCTTCCAGGAGATGGACGCCATCTCGTTCCTCACGCCACACACCAAGTTCGCGGTGCGACCGCCGTCTCTCGATTTCGTCGCCGGCGCCGTGAAAAACGCATACCGCACATGCTGGTACGGGCGTCCTGGACCGACATTCGTCGACCTGCCCGCCGATCTGATCCAGGACAAATCAGCGCCTGGTTTCCGCTTGCCGGAGCCCGAGGATATCCTCGTCCCGCCGCCTCCCAAGGCGAGCGGGGACCACGCAATGATCCTTAAGGCGGCGCAATCGCTCAAGGCGGCTCGTGCGCCGTTACTGATTATCGGCAAGGGGGCAGCGTATGCAAGGGCTGAGGGCAAGATCCGGAAGCTAGTCGAGCAGACGCAGATTCCGTTTCTCCCAACCCCGATGGGGAAAGGTGTAGTGCCGGACTCGCATCCTCTCAATGTGTCGAGCGCGCGGAGCACGGCGCTGAAGCACGCGGACGTGGTGCTGGTGCTTGGGGCGCGGCTGAACTGGATTCTGCATTTTGGCGAGCCGCCTAAGTGGTCTCCCCGGGCGAAGATCATCCAGGTTGATGTCTGCGCCGAGGAGATCGGTCGCAATGCGGGCTCTGCGGAGCTGGGGATCGTCGGCGATATCGATCTGGTGGTTGAGCAGCTGCTGGTTTCGCTTTCGAACTGGCGGTATGCCTCTTCGGCTGTCCCAAGCCAGTTCTTGTCGTTGTTGGCGGAGTCGGCGAAGAAGAATGAGGCCAAGGCGCAAAAGGCTGCGTTCACCCCTACGCCGAAGAACTCCCCCTTGACGTATCAGCGGGCCTTCCAGATTATCAAGACGACGCTGAATTCCCTGGCGCCGTTTGAAGACGGGAACGTCGTGTATGTGTCCGAAGGCGCTAACACTATGGACATTTCCCGTTCGGTCTTTCCGCTCAACCATCCCCGTCAGCGTCTGGACGCTGGGACATATGCTACGATGGGCGTGGGAATGGGATATATCATTGCCGCTCACGAGGCGTACAACGCCTCTCCAGCATCCACGGGCAAACCGAAGAAGATCGTGGCGCTTGAAGGTGACAGTGCGTTTGGCTTCAGCGCGATGGAAATCGAGACTATGGCTCGCTACAGAATCCCCGCTCTTATCTTCGTGGTGAACAACTCGGGCATATACCACGGCGACACTGCTTCTGAGAGCTCATGGAAAGAGCTACAGGCTCAGACATCGGCCAACGACACCAAATCTGACGCTCGGGATGACGGCAAAAAGGGCCTGCGGTCGACTAGTCTCCTTTACGAGACTCGCTACGAACATTTCGGTCCCATGTGTGGCGGGAAGGGATACTTTGTCCGCTCTGAAGAGGAGCTGGAGACCGCTACGCGGGAGGGATTCCTAAGTGATACGGTCACGGTCGTCAATATCATTGTGGAACCGGGCATTGGGAAGAAGATAGAGTTTGCCTGGCAGGGGAATGCCCATGAAGGACAGGCGAAATTGTGATGACTCTTATCTCGATTCGATACTGTAATCTTTCTTCATAGTCTAACAATAGTAAATGTAGTTGACAAATTAAGATGTTAGCCCTGAATAATATTGCTCATGACACTTCCGTCACGAATGTAAAAGCTGATCAACCACTTTCCCGACAGCAACAGCCTTTTCCTCCCCAAATCGCCCTCCTATAATCTGTATGCAGACTGGCATATTCTTAACTAGATTAATATCATCTAAGATAATGTATTAGCATAGCAAGTCTTAGACATATAATAGAATCACTTACATTGGCTATGATTAAACTCATCCGACTGGTTCCGAGGAGTGTGAGCCAGCCAATCTTGACCAGGCTGATCCAAAACCGGATCTGCGCTCGTCACAGGCATCGTCACAGCCGCGTAGTTCAAAAGGTTCCAGAGGGATGTATAGCCCAGCCATTGATTTGATCTCACCCATGTCTTTGGCTTGAATCCGACCCATGGCGTGACGGGCATGAGGAGCGCATCGATCCCGCTGTCTTTCCACTGCTTTAGAAAACGTTCTTGGAAGAGCCACTTTTCTTCTTCGAGCTGTAGAGCGTCAGCTTGTGGAATTTGATGGTCCTGAGTAGTGTCTATAAGCTACCTTTTCCCGTTCCAGAATGGAAAGTTCATCCGTTGCAGTCCCGACTAGCATTCCCTCGATCAATGGCTCATCGACAATGTCGCACAGGTGTTTGCAGTGCGAGCCCCCGTCTGCTAGGATGGCTTTCTTCCAAAGATTTGTCCCTGGTGTGTGGAGAGCAGTGCTCCATTCGATGACTGTTACGAGGATTTAGCCTGAGCTTCTCCTTTGACACCAGCTCAGAAAATACCTTCATGGCCAGCTGCTGCAAGCTTCGTTACTACTTCGCGTAGAGCCCGAGTTATAGGCGGCTGTGGCTTGACCACCCCGTCGTCGAAGACGACTCCCAACTTGAGCTTGCGGTCAGGTAAGGCCGCTAACTCCTTCCTCCAGGGAATGGGTATGCAACCTGGGTCCATGTCCCAGGGGCTCGAATCGAGAAGTGACTGCATAAAGTACTCAATGGTCGCCATGCTTCGAGCCATGGGCCCTGCGACTGGGGGAACGAGGTAGTGCTGATGCATACTGTAAGGCGCGTCAGTCAGCCCTTCTTTTTTCCAGAACGCACGACTTTGATAAGTCTCACAAAGAACAGTCCCACGGGACACGGCCTGTCGTCGGACAGATAGAGTAGAGACCCTGCAAGGCAGCCGGAATGCGGATCGAGCCCCCGATATCCGTCCCGATACCTAGAATACTGCCTCGCGCACCGATCAGGGCGCCTTCGCCTCCGGAGCTGCCACCGGAGATGAGCTCGTGGTTAAATGCGTTGATGGACTGACCGAAGACATGGTTGTACGAGTCAGACATCTGAGTCTTGTCAGCGGGAGTAGACAGACTGAGACACCATGCATACCATCAGAGACTGTGGTATATTCGTCTTGACGTAGAGCACTGCGCCCATGGATTCAAGCAATCTGGCGATAGAACTGGACCTCTGCGCTGGCTTGCCAATCAAGCCAACCCACCCTGTTCGCACTTCCATCAATCTTAAGAACCACGTCCCACACAAGCAGCAATAACATACCAACCGTAGTATCCATCCCCTCCACATCAAACCGATCCTTGATGGAAACTGGTAATCCGTGCAGAGGTCCTGTCAGGATACCAGTCTTCTCATACTGATCATCCAGCTCCTTCGCTCGCGCCAACGCCCGGTCGAAAAAGATCTCCGTCAGACACTTGGTCATCTGCTGCGCGATTGCCGCCCGCTTGCAGAATGCCGTGGTCAACTGCACGGAACTCACCTTTCTTGAAGTCAGGAGGGAAAGCAGGTTTGTCACATCGTCAGTCTCGGTCCATTCAAGCTCCTCCGCAGAAAGGAGGCCGCACGTTCGGATGGTTTCGAGTGTGTTGGGGAGGGGAGGAGTGAGGATTGTGGAAGGGAGACGCCAGGAGGGAGGGATGGCGTTAAGTTGGGCCGTGCGTTTCTGATGCACAGCTGATTTCCAATGAGGCATTGGTGAGATTGTCATAATGTTCATCAGTTTGTGTAGTTAGAGGTAATGGATCGAGGTGTTGCAGATATGGAAAGTTGACGGGACTGCTGTACATAGACACCCTTGGTTGCGGATAATGGGGTAGCTGCATGATGGTTGATCCTATTCGATGAAAGATATACAGGCAGTGTAACCTTGTCCCCTGCACCGAGGATATTCTGTCCAATCCAGACGGAAAGCTGTATCTCAGATCTAGGTGATATCTGAGAGCTTGCGGGGGACAAAGAGGGGCAGAAGGTTGAATTGCCGAATACCCAGAGCAGGGCGGATGAGAAGGCTTATCTTGGGCCGAGTCTGTACAAGCTCGTCCAGTCGGATCGCAAGACCTCTTCGGGATACGCGATCGACGTCGTTAATCTCTGAATCAAAAGAACTGGTACTGGAGCAATGGTTTCATGATATGCTTATGATTCAATATCATTTAATATCATTTACAGTACTGATACATTCGTCTAAACCGTCATCAGCATGCTAGCATTCTTATACCAGGTCAGCAGCGGATTCTCGCCGCTCCTCGTCTCCGTGTCTTCTATATACGCCCAGCGACGGACAAAGTCCTCGTGACTCATCACCTGTGTCAATTTCCCGGTAATGGCGCGATAGAGATCCTCGATGACGTTGAAGTCGGTGGGGAAGAATATATCGAAGTAGCCTTGATGAACCTGTCATCGCACGATTAGAATGCGTCCGTACCCTCAGAAATAAAAGGACTTACAAAGGGGGTAGACACTGGCACTGTCCGTCTCTTGTAACGTGTCTGCACCACTGGCGCATTGATACCTGGAACAGCATCCGGAAGGCTACTAAAGTCACTCGCGACCAGCCGATGTGCAGGAAAGTAACTATCCAAGATGTCAAAGAACTGCATGAGTCGAGTGGGAATGTACTCTGGAAGGGTATAAGCGCTCTGCAAAGGTAAGGAACTGCGCAATTGGCGCATAGCTTTGGGGCCCAGAGGGCTCGGGAACGGCCGACGCGCCGCAGCTTGTCTGACACGCAAGAACCGAGATGCCACAGGGTCGAGTTGCGCATTGTAATATTCGTGGAATTCGCCGTCCGCATCAATCAGTACGCCACCTTGTTGGGGTAGTTCCGTCTTGCAGTCATATCGGATCGCATCGTGAGAGAAATTATCAAACACCTCCAACGCGAGAAAGAAGCAAGGCGAATGTACATAGGTATCCCAGTCAAAAATGGATCGGTTGATGATTTCAACATGGTCCATATGCCCAGCTGCATTCACCGAATCGGTCAGATTCTTCATCTGCAGGCTCGCGAGCGAGGGCGAGATCTCAATGATCTTGAACTTGGTTCGCTGGTATACTTCGTAATCTGTATCTCGGATGAAATCCAGAATGTTGATCATCATTGTACCGTTTCCAGCTCCCATCTCGTATATGATCAGGTCATGATAGGGGTACAATGTCAGTTTATAGTTTGACACCAGGTATCGAGCGACAGTCTCCCCGTAATAAGGGCGGAACAGTTCGGTGGGAGTGTGCCACAATTGACGGGCCACGTCCGGCTGTGTCGCATCTAATTTATCTTCGAATTCTGTATACCGCTCTCCAAGCATGCGATGGAATGCCGGCCCGTCTTCGATGTTATTGAAATCAAAGGGCTCCCCCGGGCTGAAGATGGTCGCGTGTTTCGAGAAATAGCCGTAATGAGGGTTATACAAACTATCTATATAAACAGCAGATCTAGTCAGCATTCCAAGTACATTCGACATTGACAGATATGCCTGCAGAGCAAGCAAAAACCACGTACCGTCAATAAATTCTCTCGTCAACATCTTCACTTGTCGCGGGCGCTCGCGACGGTTCCGCAGATCTTTCGCCGTGACAAGCGGATATGTCTTCAATTCCTCCTCAATATCCCTGGGATAATCCCCCCGTTTGAGCCAATGCATTCCATCATCGGTACTCCTGCGCTTGGCTGGTGAACGTCGCGTGAGAAAAGGACGATACTGTTGACGAACCGGCGCCTGCAACCGGACGCAATTTGCTCTGCGGGTTATTGGTGACGATGTTCTAAATGATTGACACGCAGGATGTCGGAACAGCTGTCGAAACAGCTGACTGAGGATCGGGCTGTCCATAGGACGACGGAACAGCGGGGGTTTTCAGGAGATACAAATCAATATTGTAGTACGCAATTGACAGAAATGACGATAATGATGGATGAAGGATGGAGGCTGGCGGAGGAGTTCCTCAAGCGGCCCGAGCTTTTTCTCCGACTTCCTACACTGACCTCACTTGCTCAAACGTGATCTATCTATATAGTCGCTTCTTTGATTTTGGGCGTGCTTTGCATAGATTGACCGACCACAGAGCATACTTTCTCAGTATGAGTGATCATTCTAGGGTCTGTATAGGAACCGCCTTTGTGGCTGGAATCCTTCTCGCGGTGGGATTTACTGAGCTTCTGTATCCGGAGTTGAAGCATCGCCTCCGAGGAACTCGCGCTCAGTCGACAACCAGCCTGCAGGGTAGCACCGCAGACTCGTTGACGGCCAGATCGGGACCCCCTGCAATTGTTGACGGCATTGAAGGCTGTATTGGGAATACTCCTCTGTTACGCATCAAATCCTTGTCAGATGCGACTGGATGCGAGATTCTTGGGAAAGCAGAGGTATGGTTATTTTGTCTATCGTTTACTTTTGAGAGAAATCCAATCTCTAATGCTGTTGTAGTTCCTAAACGGAGCAGGTCAGAGCTCCAAGGACCGAGTAGCTCTAAGCATGATTGAGATTGTATGTGATACGTGCCTCGATCCCTTCTTATGTCAATTATTAACCTGCAAAGGCCGAGCAAAAAGGTATCTTGAAACCTCACTCCGGAGATACCATCTACGAGGGCACGTCCGGTTCGACCGGCATTTCACTGGCCACGCTCGCCAGAGCAAAGGGCTACCTCGCTCACATGTGAGTATCGACTCGTGCGCTTACTTGAACTGTTCATACGGCAACTGACGCTCAATAGCTGCATGCCATCTGATCAGGCAATCGAAAAGTCCAACCTGCTCCTGAAATTGGGCGCAATAGTAGATCGTGTACCTCCAGCACCGATAGTTGAAAAGGACAATTTTGTCAATCGCGCGCGCGCTCTCGCTGAAGCTCAGACACTGTCTCCCTCGGGTGGAACAGGCTTCTTCGCAGACCAGTTCGAAAACGAAGCTAACTGGAGAGCTCATTACAACGGTACGGGGCCGGAGATTTATGCCCAGTGCAACGGTAAACTCGACGCGTTCGTCGCCGGCGCTGGTACTGGGGGTACAATTTCTGGTGTCGCCCTCTTCTTGAAGCCTCGGATTCCAAATTTGAGTGTAGTGCTGGCCGATCCTCAGGGAAGTGGACTCTACAATCGAGTACGGTTCGGCGTCATGTTTGACCTTAAGGAGAGAGAAGGCACGAGGAGGCGAAGACAGGTTGACACGATTGTCGAAGGCATTGGGGTTAACCGCGTCACTGCCAACTTCGAAGCAGGAAAGGAGCTCGTCGACGATGCTGTGCGAGTGACGGATGCGCAGGCGTTGGCCATGGCTAGATGGTTAGTCGAAAAGGATGGTATCTTCGTTGGAAGTAGCAGTGCTGTCAATTGTGGGTATATTCTTGGTACCTAGTCTGCTACGTTGCTAATCACTATGATACAGGTTTTGCGGCAGTCAAAACAGCGATGAAGCTTGGTCCTGGCCATAGGATTGTCACAGTCCTGTCTGACTCTGGCTCAAGGCACCTATCTCGATTCTGGGCCAAGGCTGGAGATGTCGGCGGTGCGGTAGATACCAAGCTCGAGGACGTTCTGAACGCCAAAGACGACGAGTAACGGTTCGTGTACAAATCACGGCAATTCTTGGATTCTCGTTAGAGAAAGTGCAGGGGTTGCAGTCATCGCGTGCCGCAATCGAACTTCTGGGAGCACGTCTCACACGCTCTCCCTCTCCGTCTCGCGATCGTCTTGTTCCCGAGGCTCTCTAGGCTTAGCCAGAGAGACACGGTCGAGAGTCGACTGCACCGGGATTTGGACTCCGTCGCCTGTCAGCTTCGCTTCGCTCACGAGCTCTGAAAATTCGTACTTTGAACCGTCATCCAACTCAGCCCAGAGTCTCAACAGTGCGAACTCTACTTCCGCGTGTGAACGACCGGGAAGGCCGGCACGAATATGGGGCCAAGTTAATCCTTGTTGGTCCTTGAAAGTCTGCAATTTGTCCACCTCCTCCTTCGACCAAGGTCTGGAGAGTCGAGGCGGTTTGTCATGCCGTTCAGTCCAATGCGTCTGGTTCCACTGGATGAGTGAAACTAATTTTCGCTGCGGAAAATGTTCTTGGACTTCCTTCCATTTCTTTCCTTCAATCTGCCTCATGCGGATGATCAGCTTCGCCTCGTCTGGCGTCATCAGTGTCCTTTTGGCTCTAGTAGGAGTGGATGCCTGCGCTATGACCGGGTCTGCGTGTTGCACGGCTGCGGAAATAGGTGTATCTACAGAAAGACACTGGTCTGCATGTTTTTCAATGGTTTGAGGCTGTAATTGTGAAGTTGCGCCGTTGGCGATTTTGGGCTCTGTTGCTCCATGAAGAGCATTCGTGGTGGGTTGGCAACCAGGATCCAGCTGAGGGGTAAGCGGTCTGCGCTCATCCTTTGTGCGACTCGGAGTGATTTGGACCTGATTTTTGCCCCTGATATGAATGAGGGTTTTCGGTGTTGGCGATGGTTGATAGTCTTCCTGCAGAGGATCGTCCGATTCGCTTCCATCAGGGGTTTCTGCAAAGGACCAGTCATGCAAGACGGGGCTTGATTGATGCTTGTGATTTTGTTGGCTGACTTCAAGTCTCTTTCTGCTTTTTCCCTTTTTGGCGGCTGTGTTGCGCCTTGATTTTCCAGGAAGTGCCCACAGAGATCCCGCTCTTGGAGGAGATGCAGATCGGACAGCAGTCAAAGGAAGCTTGGGGCGTGATCTGTAGAAAATAGGCGTCGAGAACTCGCCTTTAATCTCAGGAACGCGCCAGATAGACTCCAATGGCTCATCGGCTTTGTCTCCACGCATCTGTCGGGATTGGACGGGGATGTCAGCCGTAGTATTTGCTTTTGCGGGAAAAGCCTCACTTTCAAGCGACGGGGCTTGACTATCAGGTTCATCTGACTCATTGGGGACGATCAATGCACAGTCCAACAAAGAATCCACACTTTTTGAATCGTCATCCGAATCCGGCTCGACTGTTTCAGGTGGCTGCTTTTCATATGCCCGATCTAACCGCAGCGCTGGGAGCGTATGCAGCGATGTAAGCGAGCGCTGTAGCTGCTCTCCATCTTTCGCATCGTCACCGCCAGTCTCTGCCTCTATGCCCGAGTCATGTACAGATCCCGCCAGCGTAGCTTCAGAGATCTGAACCGCAGACGTGGGTAGGTCTTCCTCGAACAACCACCCGTCCTCGTCGTCCTTTTCCCCAGTATCATCTTCGCCGGACATTCTCTGTAAGTGACCATTATTGACCACAATATTCCCTGTCTGTAAATCGATTTCATCCCCAATATCCGTGAAATCTTTTCCGTATTTTTCGAAGATGCGTTCAAAGATCGATTTGAGGCGTAAGTCATTTTGGGCTCTGGCTTCCTGCAGGTCTATATCGTCCGAGTCTTCGCCGTGACAACCCAAGGATAAGCGGAGTCTTTTCTGAGGTCGTTCCATGATGATTGAGGGTCAAGTGAGCTGTAGACTTCGTAGGCATAGGCAGACACTGAAGGTGAAAGAACTGTATTCGAGTTTCTCGAGATACGGTTCGGGCTGGGGGAATTTCGAGAGATCTTGGAACAGTCACGGGAGTCATTGAAGCGTATATGTTGAGAGCGTCCATCAAAGGTCGAGATCATAAAGTTGTGTTGCAGTATTGTAGGCATACATGTGTTATTCCCATCTGACTGGCAGTAAACACACGTCGAATATGATTCACATAATATGGATGACTGAGAGAACAAGGTAAATGGCAATCCCACTCATGAGCCAGACCCTATTGTTTTAGCCATATTTTCTCTATAGAGTGAATTGTTCTTCAAAAGTGTGCGAAGTCAGGCCCTGAATCTGCTCCCTCCACAGCTCGGACAGCGGACAAAAACGCGCGACGTCGGGCACGGGCTGCCGCATGACGTCTCCCTGCGGAACACCGTGCATGTCTCTACATGCGCATTTCCGTCTAGTGAGAACAACACCCATCTTATCCATACCTGACGGGTTCTTCTCTCGCGCATAATGCATGGATCGACATCTTCAACACTTTACGAACATGTATTGCCAGAAATGTCGGACGCCGCTGAAGCTGGATGGATCCCTTGAGGCGCTCAATCCAGCGGCCTTCGACTTACTCGTCGGTAAAGCTCCAGCTGCATTCCCTATGGACGAATCGTACGCGCTGGCTAACTCTTGTCCTTTCCATTGATGAATAGGCTCAACAGGCAGAACTCTTCCAGAAAATAACACCGCATCCTCTACACTACCTTCCTATCCGCCCGAAAGACGAGAGCTCTATGATCGAGCCTCCAGCCATGCTACGTCGCCAGTATACAGAAGATCGATCCCAGCACCTCGGCCTACAGGCAGCGGCCAAAGCAACCTTCCAAGGCTGGGCCGAGGAGACAGCGGCAATATGTCGTTTGTGATGCTCACGGAGTCGCAGGTCGGCCCACCCCACACCAGCTCGAGCAACAATGGAGAAGGGCAGTCGTGGGCGAACAAACGGCCGTCTGGCGCCCCGAATAACGAACGAGAGACAGAGGATGGGTCTTTCTCGGATCAAGTAGAGAGAACAAATCGGCTGTTTGAAATCATATCAGCTCGCTCCGATATAGACCATCCGATTTGTGTTGAGTGCACGGAGATGCTCGTGGACGGGCTACAAAAACGGCTTGTGTCTGCCACCAAGGAGAGGGACGCTTACATATCATTTCTAAGGGACTTGAACTCTTCAGCACCCACCGCGGAGGAAATTGAGGCGGCTGAAAAGTCGCTCAAGGAGACTCTCGCGGCTGAAGAGGCGGCATTTGAGGAGCTTGTCGCATTGGAGAAGGAAAAGGCCGCCCTGGACGAAGAAATCGCAGCTCTGGAGGAAGAGTCGCGACAGCTGGACCTCGAGGAGGAGAAGTTCTGGCGAGACCGGAATGCATTTGCTTTGACTCTTTCCGAATTTCAAAACGAACGCGATGCCCTGAATATGCGGTACGATCATGATTCACGCCAGCTGGAACGACTACAACGCACTAACGTTTACAATGATGCCTTCTGTATTGGGCACGACGGCTACTTTGGGACCATCAACGGGCTGCGACTGGGCCGACTGACCAATCCGTCCGTGGAGTGGCCTGAAATCAACGCAGCTTGGGGTCAGACGACACTACTGTTGGCTACTATCGCCGAGAAACTTGGATTCCAGTTTCAGGGGTATCGACTGAAGCCAATGGGATCCACGTCACGGATTGAGAAGATCGAATATCCACGAACGTCGCCAGTTCAGTCCACGCTCGGTGGGGGTAGCGCAGAGACCTCTCCGGCGCCAAAGATCACCACCCTCGATCTCTTCTCTTCTGGAGATCTCCCACTCAATCTCCCTTGGCTTCACCGCCGGTTTGATGCAGGTATGGTCGCTTTCCTGGAATGTTTACGTCAGCTGGGAGAATTTGTGGAGACGACGCCAGCACCTGTCTCGTCAACTCGTCGAGGTCACGGTAATGCTGCCGTAGCAGGGTTGAAACTGCCGTACGAGATCAAACGGGACAAAATCGGCGATGCGAGCATCAAACTTGGTTTCAACCAAAACGACGAGACCTGGACGCGTGCGTGCAAGTACACGCTCACCTGTTGCAAATTCTTGCTAGCTCATGCAAGCAATGTTGCCAGTGCTGGATCCAGTAATTCCGCAGCTGTGGCGGCTGCAGCCGTCGCAGCCGGCGAACAGGCCCGACTCGCAACGGCCAGTCCGACTCGGAAGTAGGACCAGCGTCATACAGGGCAACATGGGTGTATCGCATGCTGTGTAGCCTCAGGCAGCTCTTCCTACTTGATTCGCCTCCTCTCAAGCTGGTGTCAAGGATTTCGCTACTACGATCCACCACGCAGCGCCGCCTATGGCCAATTATATGGCGGTTGCACTTGTGACATCCGCTTCCAGCGCTCTGGTGCCAATCGGGAAGGACAAAAGCGTATCCGGACGCGACCTGGTTGGCCAAGATTTGGCACGCAGGTCGTCTCATGGTTGCCTCGGTCTCCCCCCTTAGAATGGGAAATCCAGCTGAGGCCTCGACTGGCTCGACTTGGCGTTGCCTCGCTATGCGAGAGTTGCGGATGGCAGTCTGTCGCCCTTGCGTTGTGCCTCGTAGCACGACCATTGTGGTCGTTATCCCATAGGAAAGGCATAGATCGACAGTACTCCGCAATTTTAATGGCATTCCAGGCGGTCTCTATGCGCTCTCTATGCGGTAAAGAGGATAGCGTCTTTGGCTTTTCTTATTCTTGTTCAACCATCCTGTGGTCCTGGTGCAGGACCATCGTCCTCGGCGATACCTTCCTGTGAACCATGGGGAACTAGATAATGCGATATCTGTCATAGCGGTAGCCGACAACTGACTGACAGGACGATACGTACGTTCCACGGCGACGAGTTGGAATTTTATCCCTGTTGTATCACGGCAACCAGACCCCGTCGTATCTACTCGTCGTTAGTTGTTACAACTTACAAGCGGATGCCATATGAGGGAAACGGGAGATCGTCCATTAGCCCGGCGGCCGTGATGATGACACGTTCCGGTAATAACCAGGGAAGTGGAGGACGCGCGACGCAATCTTATTCCGGCAATTATAGGTGACAGGTGTCAGGGAGTCTTGCATCGGCCTAGTGCTAATATTAATGTACGGACTACGAAACCGCTTACCAATTAGACTAGCCAGGTGACAGTCAAATCCCAGCGCACTGTTTCTTCTTTCTTTGTCTTGCGTCCCTTTGTCTCCAATCACGTCCTATGTAACCCACCAGACGCCGCTGGGCCAATCGACGAGGGTCGAAGCAGCAACATTGAGAACAAAGAAACCAGACGGTCCGAGAGCCTGTCGTTCTACTGATCCATGTTGCTGGGACAGTCAACCTTTTACTTATTATTGATAATTGATCGTAAATGATCCTACACGTCAACAAGGAATGGTTGTTTCGGGCCGCTCCCGACACATGAGGTTATTTTCTCTTTCTTTGTCAACCGTCACAAGTCAACTGTGTCCACCTTGCATATTGAAGTTTGCGAGGCCGACCTAGGTAGTGTATCATTCTCACGCGAAACAGCGGAGCTGGAAACTAGACTTTTTGACATGTAATTCACTACACAGTCTATCGCATTTGCCACCACTCCTTTTTTAGACCACCCTGGGCGAAAGGATGGATGAATCCGCCACGAATCAGCGTACCAAAGTCGAAAAGCTAGTGGATGGTCCATGCCAAGGGTTTTTTGCTCCTTCAACTTGGTCTCCAAACTTTCCATTGACGCTGTGGCTAAGTACTGCTATAGGGCCAGGAGGGATATGTCATCTCAAAATTAAACCGTCGAAGCAAGGGAGGCCTTCCAACCCTATTTCGGAGTAGTGCCAAGCTTGATGGACGCAAAACAGCTGGGTCTCTGAGAGAACTCCATACCTAGTCTACTGTGCTCGGTGACCGTTTTCTGTCTTCTGTCCAATGTTGGCGCCGCCCCTTTGGATGTCTGTAACTCACTACGGAGCAGTCCGTGTCTTGGCTAGATATGGTGCGGTACCCGTTCCACCAGGGAGTGTGCTGGAAGATGGAGAGATGGGTAGCTTTCTCGACAATATCCTCTAAGCAATGAAAGCACATCGGTAACCGTTTGTTTAAAGGTGATAATCTCCGGGTTCTGTGCGACGATGGTCTCATGGCTGTATGTAAGCATGTATGTATTCAGTGCTGAGAGGTTGTGGCTAGTGCAAAGTACGAGTAGATATTGCTTCCTAGTAGAAAGTACCTTACGGTAGGTCGATGGGACCGGACGGACATCCGATCTAGTCCACCAGCATAACGCACCGCCGATTCTTTCCTAAAGAGTGGACAATCCGGCTGAGCAAGGGAGCCTTACAGTCTTCAGGGCTTACTTCTTCCGGATAAGTAACAGGACTCGACTACGAGGCAGTATTACTTCTAGTTGGCAGAAGAGGAGAAACGTGACGATGTTAACTTAGTATTGATCATCATCTGAGGCAAACAATCAGCTGAGAATCAGAGCACCAACGTTCCTATGCCTGGGGAATAGTTGACTCAATACGGTGTCCTCAGGATTGAACTGGAGCTTAGACCTCTTCGCCATCATGTCATCAACCATGACTCGAGACAACTAGGCCGTGCCACCTCGGTTTCAAATCATAGCTTGGAAGCTGAACAGACGACGTGAGCGGTCAATAGTTCTCTAGTATCAGATGAGCGCTTACTGTCCACTATCCTGTTATTTGCGCTGCTTTGCCTCCATACCGAACTTTTGTTGCCTAGTATTCCCCAGAGACTCTACATAATTACCTAGGTGCTCATACATATGCTGGGGGTCATGGTACCCTCCATCTCAAGTCTCGCTCGGCAGGTGACCGGGGCCAAGTTCCAGAGGCAAAAGCTAAGTCGCCAATTTGCATTACTGACAAAATTCCGTTTAATCGGTTACCCCGTCAATGATTTTCTCTTTTTGGTCATTTAATGAAGTCAAGTCGATCCCTGATCATGCCCTACACCACAGGAGTCACGTTAGTCCTGATGAAGTAGTAGCTGCGTCGGATGGCATGTAAGCAATGGTACACCTGCAGGATTAGCGCAGGCAAACACAAAGTACGTAAAGAAGGTACGTAACTTATTCTTTACAGGCGACAGAGGTACGGAGGATGAAGCACGAAGCACGAAGCGCGATCAGGCGATCAGGATAACACACTGTATGAGATATTTCTACTCCGTACCTAGATATGATGGTCATCAATCAATACGTACCTAAGGAGCATGACAGCAGTATTGATATCATCATGAAATACCGAGGATATGGTACATTGTGCTCCTCTGAAAGAGGTCAAGCCCCTGGCCATGGGACTGGACTTCACTCAACAAAGAACTGTGTACCTATTATTGAAAAGTCTTGCTTGAAGAGGGCTAGACTACTTAGTGCTTTGTAGCTACATGTGGACTGGAAATGAGTGGGTATTATCCATTTATCCCCGTGTTCATCCTTATTAGCTGGTTTACTATCTACATACTACTCTACTACTACAATTTGCGTCCCCACTCTCTAGCCTACAGTCAGGTAGACATACCCAAGGCAGAGTCTAGCCAACTGTTAAACTCACATTGATAATAGATTTGCAAGGAGGATTCATGAAATAATAGATAGTACGGACTGACCATGTACTATGTCTCCGTATCTGTACCTCTGCGCTGAACACCGGGGGATCAAAACAAAAGTACACGGACCATCAGTACTATTAGCTACAGGCCCACCGATTGGCCAACGGGAGCAAGGATCGGGATATCCGCGGGCGTTCCAGCAGCAAGTGGCCGCAAAGGGCAAGCAGAGGTCCTTGCTAGTCAACCACAGTCTGTCAGCGATCTATCGTCATTTCTCCCCTTGAAAAAAAAGGGCCTTAGCATTTCATCTTCTCCTATATATTACCTATATTGATTTCGGTCTCAGTTTGAGGTTGGATATTTCATTTTCTTTTTCTCTGGATTCCGGACCCTACCTAATGTGTATTCTGGACTGCTCAGACATTCGCCCTTTGCTGTTCTTCGTCTGTTTGCTGTCTGGTCCTCATTCAAGCCAAAGTACCACGACCAGCTAGGAAGTGCTAGCCCCGTACTTAGGCCGCCGGGTGGACACCCTTAGCCTCCTTTTGGCCCCGGGTTGTATCCATCGTTCTGAACCTTTTTTTTCCCTGTAGCCTCGTTGTATTTTTGTTTCTATTTCTATTTTTCTCCCTTTTTTTCCTTGATCTACCCTAACATTGTCAGACAGTTCTTTGTGATTTTCATCTTTTCTTTTCCCTCTTGGTTCGGTAGTAAAAAAAATCCTTTATCTAATTTGAAATGTTCTGGCTAGCTTCAATAAGGATTCGATTATTATTATTATTTTCATTATTATCCAGGATAGTCTATTCTTCGGATTTTATAGAAGGATTTGCTGGCAGTTTTCTGTTGGAAGAGAAGCAGGAACGACAATGGCCCATAAGAAAACTGCTCGAAAATTCAATTTTTTGATCATTATTGGATGCAAGCGAGGCTGCTAGCTACCACGTACTTACAGATACTGACCACATGCTTTACTTGCCTCTTACCCTGACTGCTATTCTTTCTCTTGCAGTCGACCTGAAGCAATTGCCTGCCTACTACTAGATAGATACCTCCCTTCGACTACTGACTGACCACTTGTTGCAGTCTGAGTAATAGAACGTGTGTCACTACGATATCTACTAGCTCTTCTTTGGCTACTTTCACCTAACTACGACTAGTGACTCCTGCATCTGAACCGGATTCAACTGACAACTACCTACAACTCCATACGACTGTCTGGAATCTATCTCACTGCCGCTTGTGCTGCAACAGGCAACTGACAAAACTGTCGATATTGTCGAACCTGCAAGCTACACTCCTCTACTACATAAAGTCTTTCTGGAATTCCATTGTGCCTCATTGCCCTTCTCTTCTCCATTTGGTCCGCTATTTCCCCAACCTTCATCCTCTTTCCACCCTTCTACCACTATCGCCGTCTACGCCGATCATCAACTATCCCGCCCTCGTGAGCTCTAGAGTATGCCTACCAGAGAAGTTCTGGTGATTCGTTAATGATGGATGGTTCCATCGCCTCGTCGTCCAACTTCTCTGCTTCATCATCGTCTTCGTCCTCAGCAATCTTTCGTCCCCGCAGATCTGACGACTGGAATGAGTACCGTACGGTTATTGAGCGTCTTTATCGCGACAATCAGCTGAAACTAAGAGATGTGAAACGAATCATGGAACATGATTATAACTTCGTTGCATCGTACTGTCTTCCTTTTCCCTCGTGTTCTTTTTTTTTTTTTCTTTTTTCCCCTCTCTTACCCTTGATTTCCATTTCTGGTCGACATGTTCGACATCACATGAGCATCTCATTTGAGTTGATCATGCCTGTTTTATCCTCAAAATGAAGGGCTTTTCTAGATCCCGTTCAACGGAGCAAGAACAGGCAAATCATTTTTCTCCTCTCGCATCTGCGTGGCTTCTATTTTTGTTTTTGGATTGCCTTGTGGTGAACTGCAGCCGATGTTTGAACTTCTTGCCTAACTTGGACTTCCCAGAGAAAAGCAATTCAAGGACCGTTTGGCGGCATGGCATGTCCGAAAAAACATCAAGGCCAAAGAAGTCCATGTGATGATTCGAAAGCAGCAAAAGCGAGCTGCTCGAGGCAAACAAACCGCATTTCGAGTGGGTGGTCAGGAAGTCGACTCCAAGCGCATCGCTCGCTTCGTCCGTAGGTACGGTGCTTCCTGGGACAACACTCGCAACGAGTCCCATCGGACAAGTCCTGAACCAGGTGCGTCTCCTTACAAAAGTATTTGGACAGACTCCAGTTTGCTAATTAAGCTCACAGATACCCCATCCGACATGAGTTGTTACACTCCCGAACCGGACGATCGATCTGCGGCCTTGTCCCCTCTACCGGAATCTCAATCAATGCACCGTGAGCAGCCCTCTTCTCCTTATTCGATCTATCATCTGCCACCTCCGAGTCCTCTTCGCAATCAATCTCAAACTTATGATTTACCACATGCTGCCGTCTTGAACCAAGTTGACAAGAAGCAACAGATGAAAACAAGTTTGACCCTCTTCAAAGTCCCGAACTAGATGACAACCAATCTTTGTCGGCAGCTACTCTCAGTCCTACCTCGACACATCCTACCCCAAGGCCAATGGAAGACCTGTCGACTGAAAATGCTTGGCAGGCTTTGGATTCATTTCAAGACCGTCTTTTAGCCCTCGACAAGAAGCTCGAGGAGAGCATGTCGAACTTCATTACACCCGGAGAAGAATGCTGAAAAAGCTGCGGGCAGTCGTCTCGAACTCGGAAACTCGCAAGGTCTTGATGGTCCGGTCTAGATTATGGTCTCACAGGATTCTCCGCTGGGTTTGACACCAAGTGATTATGGTGATCACCTTTTTTCTTTTTGACTATTAACCACCGTATAGCATGTTACCCATCATTGCGTTTGCCCCTTCCGTGTAACACTCAATTCTGTCTCGTTCATCGTCATTTCATACAGTATGATTTTCATAGACAACTATGGTTTGACTTGAGCGGAAGATGGTGCAGAGTAGGGTCAGGTATTTTGTCTTCATGCCGCGCATCATCACTCTGGAGCCTGCACAGCAAAGAAGTGAACCATTAAAACTAGCGGCATCAGGAGCGGCTGGGTAGCTTGGCGACCATTTGTCTGCTGTTTTTTGCTTCGTCAACGCATCCAGTTCGCAGCCATCTCCACAGAACCTATCCCTTACAGAGCGCTCTGGGTCTCGTCAGAATCCATACTGCATTTATCGCCCCAACCTGCATGTCAGGCGCGCTACATACGAGAAGGTGTTCCCTGAGTTGTTTGCTTCACAAACAGCAGGTCCAGACAACTCCGACGGGAATCATTCGCATGGTGTTTCACTCCCACGGATATTGTCGAATCCTGATCGTTCCTGGTCTGTCATGTCATCAGGACCGTTCTTACTACAACTATTGGAGGTCTGGGAACACCTAAGGCTCAGGATGAAAGCGGACCCTGCGTGCACGGATATACGAGTGTTTGAACAATACGCCATGGTCACCGAAGATGATTAGGTGGATTCACTCTGCGGAGACACTGCGGCTGGCCAGACAGTATTCCGCCTGGGGTCAAAGGAGTGAAATGCAGGAACCCGTGGTGCTGCTGCTGCTACACACAAGGCAGATATTACAGAGGTACGAGGCAACCCCGAGCATGTACGACAAGCCTAGCGTGTGTTTCTGGGCGAAGCTCATGCAGAGTAACAAGTATTGGGACTGCTTTGGGGAATTCATGCAAACATTATTATCAGGGCCATCTATAGAGTACTAGAGGATCGATCGTCTCATCTACCTTCGGCCACAATATAATCTGTACACAAGTACCTGTCTACTCTATCAGATAAACTGCCTCCTAATCACACAACGCAAAAGTAGAAGCACTGTACAGAGTACCACAAATGCACCTGCATTTCTCATCCATCATGGCGACCAAACCCGCAGATCCCAATCACAATCAAAGAAAGTAATCTTCCAAACCCACCCACGCAGTAACACTCCAACAAACACAGTACACCATACCACTAGCCCCAGCCCCAGCACACGAGAAAAGAGCACCAACAACCAAACACACCCCTCCGGAAAATAATTCCGTCTCCAATCCGCCATAACCATACGCCCAGGCACTGCATAGCACACTGCAAACAAGACCATCCTACCCCCGGACAACTTACCAGGATCGGCGACTATCACTTAACGCCTCCAAGACAATAGGGCCGAAACAGGGGTCGTTAGCTTTGACGGAAGCTATCTAGATACTACGAGCCCAACAGTTTTGTTTTAAGTTGATGAGAATTCCAATGGAATATAGAGTACGGAGTACGGAGGACTATGTCTGTCTATCCGGATTCCCGTCGTTGGAGTCGTAACTCTGGCGTCAAGGACAGGACTAGTCAGTAATCAATAGTCGTATAAGGTCAGTGAGACGAGACGAGACGAGGCGGGCAAGGCTAGTTGCTAGCTCTCAGACACTTTGATGCGCAGGATCCTTCAGACTATCTATCTAGCACTTTCTATGTAGGAAGTGCTTACCAGGCTCTTGTTCTAGTTCTACTGCTTAGTTTGAAGGAGATTATCTACTCCAGCGGGCTAGCGGGCGAGATAGGCGGGTTCAGGATCCGGCCGGATCTTCGCCGATGGGTCTTACTCCGAGTGCGGACGGGATGGTGCGTACGACGATTCCCGTTCTTAATGTGTTGACACACGACACTTTGATATGTCAGTGAAGGACGCGTGGTTGGTGGGTAAGGGTGTTTCTTTGGCGGATTTTAGTTGGTTTGGAGTCTGGACTCTTGCCTGTACGGAGCACCGAGTTTGCGATAGGTCAAGTGCCAGCTGATAGGTCAGGAGATGGGCCGAGGATTTCAAACACAGTCAGAATCATGGTTATTAGCGGTGTATCAGCTTAGATTTGTTACTATTCGAGCTATCTAAACGATGCCCAAAATACTTCGGTGATTCGTAGCAGTGTCAGTTCCATAATGCGAACAGGCACTACAGATATGGATGAGAGATGGATGGCAAGGACTTTAATTAACAAAAGTACCTTTCTTTATGAAGTGTACAAGAAGTACTTTTGCATCAGCCCAGTGTGTGATGAGACAGTCAGACTGCATGTTGGTGTATTGACTAAGTTGTCATTGAGTAAAGTATACACGGCATAAGAAGTAGATGATATAGATAGGAACCCCTCGCTCAAACGTAAGAAGAACAGATAAAAGGCGGAAAAAGAAAACATCCATGTCCAGATGTACCCAAAAACAATAGTATCCTGGCGTCGTCGTTCAATTCTCCCCGAAGCTCATAATCCGTCAAACCCAGATGCATAGACAAGGATTGAGAGAGCCAAGCCAGAACAGGATATGCTGCCATATCTTTTGTTCGTGGATTATCGTGTTAATAACAAAAGGTGATAAGGTGACGACGGAATATCATGGCACAGTTTATGAGTAGAATGCACTCTTCTGAAAGCTCTCCGGCGAGATGTCACCCATTTTCCCCTTAAGGACTGGCTTCTTCTCATCGCCGGCTTGAGCCTTTTCAATGACCGATGTCATAGTATTGCTACGGCTGCCCGCTTCGCTACCAGAGGTGATGGCCTGCTGCGCCGGCTTTCTTTGAATGGTTTCCAGGTAGGGCCCTGGGAGGTAACCAACACGGCCGTCCCGGGCACGGCAGCGCCACCACTCAGATGCGTTGCCCATTGGGTCTGTTTTGCTGAGAACAGCGACAATATCACCCTTCTTGACGGCAAGATCGATACCTGCGCTGTCCTGAGACTCAGGGGTATAATCATACAAAACTCGGCAGAAATCAAGCTTTGACGGATCCAATGGCGCTTGCATGGGTTCCCCATTTGGTCCCAGCATCATCTGTTTACGTTGCTCTTCCTGTGAGCGCGCGAGGGCCTTGATGAGCTTGCCCATCAAGTATGGGAGGCCGAAGACGGCGATCAGGAACATGAAAAATGGCTTCTTCGAAGGCTTGGGGGGAGCAGGAGAGCCGTCTGGRAGCGTGGCAGGCGCGGAGCGCCCGTGCATAAACGCCGCAAAGGCAGATGGGGTGAGAGAGGCAGCATCAGCCGGCGGGGGACGCCCCGTAATCTTCGCAATCAACGTTCTGAACCACCTGATTATTGTGAAAATCCCCAAAGCGGACCCAAGAGTATTTCGCAGATTCCCAAACTGCTCTGCAACAGAGACCATGGCTTTAATGAAGTTAGTTTCAATGCCCGACAAAAGCTGCCACTAGCAATAGAAAACATACCAAAAAAGGAGCTATGAGTCGCCATATATGTGCTCTCCAGCATCTGAGCAAACCCACCAAATGCACCCACAATACTCTCAATCATCTGAAAGGTAGCCTGCGTGCTCTGGCTGAACGAATTCGTCAAGCTGTTGGGATCATTGGGGTCGCCAGGCATGCCGGCACCGTACATGCCTCCCATGCCTCCCATGCCGCCGTACATACCCCCGTAGCCACCATAGCCTCCATACATGGAGCCCATCGTACCGAAGCGGGAGTATGGCGATGAATATGCGCCGTAGCCGCCATAGCCGGTTCCGCCATACGGCGTGGTACCGAATCGTGATGCGCCATAGGGGGGGTAGTTCGACGCTGTCCGATTCACAACAGAGTTCAATGTGTCAGGGCGAGAAGGTAAGGAGGGAGCAGTAGAGGATGATGTTGTTGAGGTGGATGTGGGTATGGCGGAGGTAGAGGTCGGTGCTGTCGCAGCGGCGGCTGTTGGAGTCATGGTCGAACTACCGGCGGGGGACGCTGATAATACAGTCCCTGATGGAGCAGAGTAACAACGTTAGCGATCAATCTCTCGATCATAGAGACAGCAGAGAATAAGTAGTCAACAGCGGCGAGTCACCTACCACTGCCAGCAGTGCCTGCTCTCTCCCACGGTTTAGGTGGCGAAACCGACGCCATGGAGTTGTGGGGCGGGGAAATTTCTCACCAGCCTCGCATTTGACCCCAACCGAAAACAGGTAACGATGGAACTAGATGGCGAGTTGCTATATTGATTGATGTGAGGATGATGGGTGGGAACTTGGATGCGCAGAAGAGAGGGGACGCACGAGATGGAGAAAGATGGGGAAGACCTGTTGAGTTCGGCGACGGTGGTGGAGCCTTGGCAAAATTACACGGCGCATGAGATGCCGAGGCTGTCTGCTTTTGCCGACAGAAACTCTTCTGAGCCGGAGAACGCCGTGTTGGATCTTCATCATCATGATGTTGATTATTGATCCTCTCAAACAATTTGTATCGGCTGCACAATAAATATTACTGTTTTATCACGGTCTCCCAGTGAATTGACTTTGATCTGTGGCAATATTCTTGTGTCTCACGTACAGCCATTGTCCACACCAAATACGCTCCTACATTATCAACACCAAACCATAGCTGACTGTTTGTATGCAACTGAGAACTTTCTAGTCAATTGGAGTAAATATACCCATATTATACATGCCCTCCAGAACTCCCAAGATGCAACGCCGACTTCTAGACGCCGCGAAAAAAATCATACCCCCGTTGTCTATACAGTTCGGCAGCCGCCGATGGCTAGGAAAATAAGTGGTCTAGTACGCTGGAATCGACTATAACTCGTCACGACTGCGCATGTCGGGCTGTTGAGGAAACCGAATTCTCCACGACCGCGGTGGCACAGGAAGACCCAGCCAATAACTCCAGGCGCGGTTGGCTTCCATGACGAAGATTTCCCATCTGCAATACAGAATCAGCGGTCAGTCACTGTGCAGAAGGACAGGGATTAGGAAGAGCTTACAAAGTTTTCGGCATATTCCACCAGCTCTTCAGGACGTAGATGTATGTGTCCCACACCACCTCGAATTCGGCCTTGAAACTGTCCCACAAAGTATCCGTTTCCTTATGCGGCCGTCTCTCCCATGGCAATCTCTCCGTTGCGTACTTGAAGTCGTCTTCATCGTCTTCGTAATAGAACGTTGATCCTCCATCCTTGTAAAGGACCTTCGCTCTCTGACCGCCAGGCTGCTCCTTCAACAAGGGCGTTCCCGCCATGATAGCGAAAGTCTGGCCCTGTCCAAGATCCATGGCACGGTGGAAGCTTCGTACAGCAGCCAAACTATGGGAAATGCGGCCAAGAGTGTTGATCAACGCGACTAGCTCAGTTCGCCGCAGTGGTGGATTTTCGCCATTCTTGGTCTCGTCGTAGTCGAACAGCACCTTCAGAGCCGTTCCATATCCATTCACCTGGAGCTTGCCCCACAGTCGGCACTTATCGCAGCCAACGCAGTCCATCAATCTGCTCACGTTTCTGAAGCGGTTGCGGAACTCTTCCTTCAAGCCGGGTGCGCTCGGGTCCTGGAACATGATATTCTCATCAAAAATTTGCGGCCGATCAGCGAGGATCGCAGTCAGCTGGGACACCTTCTTCTTGGTCTCGCTGTCCTGGAGCGGATCGCTTGTGCAAAATGTGTAGTTCTGAAGGTGCTTTCGCAGCTTCGCCACGGCCCGCGAGACGAGTGCATAGTTGAAGTACAAGTTGGAAATGCGCTCCGGGTGATCATGCAGACGCTCTTTGAAGCATTGCAAATTGGGATGCCACTGTCCTGTAGTCTTGTTGAGATAATCCCAGCAAAGATGGGTTGAGATGGATGCATGCATGCCGCTGATGAGGCGATGAAAGACCCGCTTCTCAAGGCACTCATTATCAAACGGCAATCCTTCGGAGCGTTTCATCTCCTTTTGTATTACGTTTCGGAAGTCATTGACGGCCTGCAAGCCTCCTAGAGATGGATGCAGGGACAGTCCCATCTCCGGAGGCGACTTCAGAAAACAGTTCTCCCGGTAGATGGCGTCCCAGACCTGATGGGCTCCCGGTCCTGCGTATCCCGTGAATCGCTCCGGATTATCTACCAAACTGACGTAGTCCCCTTTACCACTGGCTCCTTCGTCTTCCGGTACACAGTAATCGCGCTCATCGCACTCGTCGTCGTATTCGACCACGCAGCTTTCCCCGACATTTGCGCCGAGTTCGCCTTGAAGTGGTTTGTCACTGGGTCGTTCTTTTTGAAGTTTGCGGCCGGGATGGCCTGCTTTGGGACCTTCAAGTTTGCTAAGCTCCTCCGCTCGCCACGTCAACGGGATATCCTCCTCTGACTCTATTGTGTTGACGGAACACGCGATATTGCCGCACATACTGTGGGCATCGTCCCAGAACGGACATTGCTTATTGAATAAATTTAGGCGGTAATATGAAAAGAAATCCGTCTCTTGCGTGATTGATTGGAGCAGGCTGTAGATCTGATCGTTGAGAGAATCGACGGTGACGTAGGAAACACAGGCGTCGGAGACGGTGGCGGAGGGATCAATCTAGAAAACGACATAGTCAGAAACAGTCACAGAAGTATCCTTGATAGTAAAAGCCACTTACTGCGCAAACAGAGTGGTCATATCGTTCCTCGTGGGCATTGGTAAGCCGCAAGAACGCGAACACTGCCAGGTAAAAGACCCTGGCCGCTGAGCGCATTTTGCTGTCAGGGTTTCAAAAATGCATATACTAGTATGGTGTTCTTTTAAGATCGGACGGAGTGATGAAGACAATGATCAGTCGCTCTGTTGCCCTTCACATGAAAATAGACAAGTGGGCCTCGTCGAGGATTATCAATCAAAGCAAGACAAAGCCAAGAACTCGAAGTCTCATGCAACAACGAAGGTAAAGGAGGATTCGGTGCTATGCAATGACTATGGAGGAGGAGTGAAAGAAAAAAACACAAATCTAGACTGCGGGATTGCAAGAAGAAGGCCACTATTTACAGCGTGGTATGTTGGAGTCCTCAATAAGATTATTCAGAAGTGGACAAGCTGGCCTTCCTTTGCGCGTGGCGGAGTGCACCCGCAGTAGTAATCGGATGATCGCCAACGACGGCAATGGAACGTCCCACGCCAAGCAGTCAGAAGTAAGGCATTTGTCTAGTCCGTCTAGTTTGTAAGACTGGTTTCATTTAACACTACGGATAATTCCATTGGTCGAGTCCGTTCTTATATTACCGGCCTGTTAGATGCTGATGCCGGACAGGTCCAGATCAGGCCATTCTAAAACTTCGCAATTCATCAAATGTTAAAAGAACAAAAGAGGACAGCTGTACAATCTGACCCTGGCTTATCCTATGGACAGCACATTACATGCATTTTCTTAGCCTACGCCTCCAGATTAGGCTTAGCGCGACACACATCTCACCTTCTGTCATACGTAGATAGCTTCATCTTAGATAGTTCGAACATCACGCCATTATCTCATTCCATTCTCACTCACAACCTCTCGCCACCCTCAAGATCATGCCCTTCACCCATCTCTCTAATCCTCTCATCCCTACTCTCAACCAGATCCTCGCCCGCTTGCTCCAGGATGGTGTTCTGGTTTAATAGCTTCTCAAAGCCAAGCGTCTTAGCAGCAAACTCAAAGATCATCTTTTCCACTTCAGGCGCATGCTTCGTGAGTCCATGATCATCCCCGGGGAGCAGCTTCAACTCCCTGGGACCTTTATTTCCATACTCCCTGTACAAAGTCTCCGAGCACGTCGGCGAGAGCACCGTATCATCGGTCCCATGCAGCAAGAGGACCGGTCGCGGACTCAATTTTTGGATCCCAGTCGTTTGAGCCGTTTGTGAGGCCACAGTAGCCACGCCACGGACGCACTCAGGCTGCTCGGCCGCGACGGTGAAACACGGGCTTCCGCCGAAGGACCAGCCGACGAGGACGAAGCTCGATGAATTGAAGTGCTCGCGCAGGTAGGTGAAAGAGGCTACAATGTCGGCGGAACAGTACTCCGTCCTCGCTGGTCGTCGATAGTCAAGTCGGATGCAGGGGATGCCAAGTAGTAGGGCAAGTTTGTCAGCAAGCGATGCGTAAATCCCTAACAGCACACCACAGTTAATTGCCGATCTGCCGTGGAATGAAGCATCAAGCAAGAGATAAGATACCGGATGGTCCGCTCACCCCCCCACCAGCGCCCGATACAAGTACAACTGCTGATCCCTTGGCTTCGACGGCGCTATAACTGCGAGGTTCGTGTAGAATGGCCGGTGCGTCATGATCGAGCGGATCGTTGACGCGGATGTTGACATGTCTCGCGATGGAGGGTTTGATGGCCCTTTTCTCGACTTTGGGGGGGTGGACCGGTCCCAGGCTATGCAGAGTATGAGGCCGAACTGCAGCCATGATCTTGTTAGAAACGCCTATGTGTCGATGTAGATTTGGTAGTGAAGAATGCAAGTGATATTGAAGATAGGACCTCATGCAGCAAAACATACTTTTGTTTTATTTGTCTAGAGGCGATTAAAAACCATGCCATTTATGCAGGAGTTGCCTCCGTTGCTAGTATTGGGGCGGTTTGATCAGACTGACGGACATGACGCAAGAACTATACAAGCTGTTTTAAGCGGGAAATAGCCACACCAGGAGACACTGGTGGCAAGTTATAGCACGATTTGACCGTCGCATTACTAAAATTTGGATAGTCAGTATTCGACCAAGTCTACATGTTTGGGGCTAACCATACGGCTGTATTGAATTATAGAGCTACCTGGAAGATCGGGAGAAGAGAGACTTCAATTCATTTGTTTGATTTGACTAGGGGGATGAAGTTGAGCCTGTCTTCATCGCAGCAGTACAGGCGTAATCCGTTACCCGAAAATTATTATATCCCAAAGGACCTTAACTCCCGGGGTGATCGACTCCAATAATGCCGTCACATATAGCAAGGCACACATACATGAAGAAGGGAAAAAGCCCGTACGGCATAAAAAACCCCTGTTACATGATTCCAAATTGCGCCCAAAAGTCCGGGTATCTTTTCCAAATTCCGAAGTTGCCGGCTCCTGAAAGCCCTCGTCTCGCGATTTTGTCTGTTTCCTGAAGCTGTCGGACAGACTGAGACATCAGTGAGGGAAAAAAGGCTCAAAGTAGGCATGAAAAAAAACCCTCGTCTCATGAAATTGCACCAATCCGTGGGGTATATAGTCGTAATAGCGTAGATGTCGTGTCGTATATATTCCGAGTCGTGAATTCGTACAGCGTCGAGTAGTCATTCCGGCATATTGTTGATTGTTGTCACCAAGCATATAGCTCTGCATTTGCAATGGTGAAGACCGAGACAGTTGGTAAGTAATAATAGTACTCCGCTGGCAGGTCGTTGCGACATCGAAGAAGTGGTGCGTTCAATGACAGTGGTAGCGCCCTGCAGGCAGGCTGTTGGTTGCTCAAAGCTCAGGTGGTTTTATTGCGCTTCCAACTGCGGCAATGACTGAATGCTTTGCGGATAATTTCGAACGGCTTTGGAAGCGGACTGTTGTAGAAAGGGTCGTTCTTGAAGTCTTCTTCAGTGAATTTCTAATAGGTCTATCAGTACTTTGTTGATTACGAATAAGCACCGAGGCGACCTACCAAGCCTGGGACGCGAACAAAATTGCCGTAGTCGTTCATCATGTTGGTGCCCTCCTCATACTCGTAGATTCGTCCTTCCCTGTCTGTAGTTCCAGGAGGATAGAATGCGACTCCATCCAACGGGCGATGGCTGCTGAGACAATCGGCAATCTTGTCCTCTGGGGTCGCCTTGAGAGCCTCTTTGGTTGAGCCTTCAAGAGCTGCAATCGGGCTAGTTTTGGCGTCGTGATTTCTTTCCGCATAGACGGCGTCGTATGGGCTTTCATGGTGGTAATGGAAGACACCTGCATTGTCCAGGCGATCAATGACATCTGGAGTGACCAGAAGCGAACCGCGTCGGTATCTGGTGCGATGGCGGTTGCCTTGAGTGCTCTGCTGAGCGTACGTAGGGTGATATGTGTACCGTCTTCTCCTTGGCTCTACTGGCTGGTGCTCAAGTTCACCAGACCAGTAGATAGAAGGCACAGAAGGTGAGCGTTCTAAACTGAGAGTGTTCAGAGTCGATGTAGATGAAGAGGGAGAAGGAGTCGGAGAAGGAGAGATGTAGCGATGGTAGGGGTTGTTGCTCCCCAACTCCATGGCCATATCGACGTTCATAGGGCATTGACTAGGCTGATCCCAACGAGAAGGATACGAAGCCATATACATGGAGTCACCGGAAGACACCATGGCTGTTCGACTTTGAGAGGAGATGATCGAGGAGTGCTCAGGGAAAAGAAATTCCTCCGTCTTTTAATCTCTGGAATCTCCTGGTTTGGACGGAGACACAGGTGTCTAATAGTAACTCTGCGCTATCGAATGCAATCTTACCGATACTTTCTGCTGATGTGGGGCTGAATGTCCGATTTGGGGTCCGAATATGTGATCGAGCGAAATAGCGGTGTTTCGACGCAAAGAAAAGATGATTGTCCACGATTATCAGCTCAGAAGATGAGGCACGAGAAGTACGTTCGAGGAATGAATCAGAGAAGGGGAAAGAGAGAAAGGATTGTCTACAAAATGTACGACCAAAGAGTGACGTGACGACTTGCGTATACCTATACCCAAGGGTCCTGGGGCTTATCGATAAGGGGTCCACCCCTCCCTCTTGGGCTTAGTCATTAAGATTTATACCTTATCTAGCTTAGTGTATGGGCCTTGCCGAATGACTAGACCCGTTCGGTTACATTGGCCACTGCACTCGATGATGAAACTTATGGAGCAAACACCAGAAACTCGCCTCAAATGGCTTCCGGCGATCCCGTCGATCCATGGATGTTGATGAAAATTGCGTTCGAGTACCTGAATATGACACAATGATCTCCTGTCGAAGGTCGTCAGAATCTCACAGAAGGAGCCCTATGACGTTTCTCAGTCAGTATGAGAACCCATCACATATGACAGGCATAAGGTTTTGTCTGTACGCTATACCTCTCGTAATCTGTTCTTATTATTCAACTAAACAAAGTATCTTAGCAGTCACTGAATGAAATATCCATTGCTACTATCTCATTCACTTCCTTTTAGATTTGTATTGCAAAGATTAAGCTCATCGTTAGTCTGAACGTAGCGTCAGCGGTTAAGAGTTAAAGAGTGCACTACTAAGGCCCCCATTGTAGTCTAGGCGAAGTGCAGATAGACTAAGTCGAAAAGGAAAGCAGATGTAGAAGCTACTTGGACAAATAGAGCACCCTCCCATCCCTATTACGGTTACCTGGGTTTTATTCCTTAGATAGAAGTCTATCATCAGGCCTATTTAAAAGATTGGTCTAGACTCCAGAGATGGACGGCCGTAAGAGCGTCATGGATTGTGGAAAAATCTGCAACGCTTCGATTTCAGTGCTACCATTACCCCACACGTCTATGACAGGGCCTCCCCTCGTTCTAGACCAACATTCGTCGCATCAGGTCACTTAAATATGAACACCATTCAAAAAGATTTACAACGCTTGCTCGCCGTATATTCTGGGGACTGGAATTGCACGTCTAACTATAGTTTCATAGCTTGGATCCATAATCCTTCAAACACGTATTCTCCTACTCTAAATGCGAGGCTTTTTTTCTCTCCCTCTGTATATGAACCATTGGGCGTATGGTCCTTCCACGCTTCGACTTCCAGAAACGTTGTCTGATACATCGCGTTTGATAACAATCTACTTCGTAACTTAGAAAGAAGCATAGAGACGATTTTGATAAAAATTGGCACTTTCGATGGGAGAATAAAGCCTACCTATCAGCCAATCAGTAACTCTGTTGGCGACGGGAGCGACTTTACTTAGTAAGAAACAGTAATACCATTACAGTAAGTTTACACCTGCTTCTCTTCAACCCGCTTCTTGACTCAACCCATACCCATTGCCCCGATGGCTTTGGTGCAATACTCTGATACAGAGTCAGATACAGAAGAAAGTGAGGAGAAATCGCCCAGACCATCAAAGAAACCCCGTCACAACAACACTTCCGTCGATGATCGAGTATCATCTCTACCCCCACTACCGACTGCATTTCGTGATCTGTATGCCTCGAGCACTCGCGTGAGTGTACGAGACGACCCTAGTCTTCATGGAGGCCGTAAGCGTGTCATTCCCCATGTCGAAGGGAACTGGCCCACCCATATATACCTAGAGTGTGAGTTTACTGGCTAGCATTTGCAGATGGGAACTGAATCCGACAGGGTATCCTTCGAAAGCAGAACTCGCTGTCTTGGATGGTATATTAGCAGAGGTCGAAGTCAAGTTGGGAGGACGGGCGGGGGAGATACATAGCTTATTAAGAAGCGACCTGGGTGTCCAACTCCCGCTTCATATCAGTCTCTCCAGACCAGTGGTTCTTCGCACTGAACAGAGACAGCCTTTCATGGATATGTTCCAAACGGCTCTTCAAGAGTCTACAGTCCCAGCGTGAGTATTTCACACTTCTCTCGTGGACAGTCGGATTGCTAACGGACCACCCAGATTCTCTGTCAACCCTTACAGGCTCGACTGGGTCTCTAATTACGAAAGGACGCGGTGGTTCCTCGTCCTACGGGTGACAAAGCCCGCAAATGATAACTTGAGCCGTCTCCTCGGCCTGTCAAATCGCTCTTTAGCTCACTTTGGCCAACCACCGCTGTATGCGGGTAGATCGGCTGGCCCAGATCACAGGCATGGACAAGATGAAAGTGTCAAACCAGATACACAGCCCGAAGACTTTTCTCACTGTTTCCACGTCTCCCTCGCCTGGAGCTTAACAGAACCAACGCCGCAGCAGAAGAAGAAAATTGAGGCTATAGATCTTCGCCGCTTACGAAGTCTGATCATTCACTTTGACTGTGTGAAGGCCAAAATTGGCAACAATATCTCGAGCATACCCCTTTCGACTGTATGAAGTTTCTCCTGTGATATCACCGAAGCGTAAATTAGTGAGAACCGAATGATATTTGCTTAGCCTCCCTTTTTAGAGAAAAAGGTATTACGGCTCCTCAATTAGTATTCCATTAGTCTTTAAACATTATTGTACCTTGCGAGCCCTGAGCTGCATATAGTGGTCCTAAATGTACCTAAGGTAGGTACCTACCGAACAACAAAAGACAGGCGTCAAGACTGCTGCCTTTCTCGTTCTAGTAGGCGAGCAGTGTTGCCCTGAATTCGCTTGGATGAAAGCGAGAAATGTCTCAATCTGAGCGTCTTCACCACCCCCTTCTCCATATTTTGCCGAGACCATGACGCTAGCCTCCCATGAAGAGCTGCTAGAGGGGTACACGGACTTGGAACTGGCTCGTCACATTGTATCCTCGCCGTTGTGCGCGTCCAGCTCGCGGGTATTCAACCTCTCCTCGAATTTCATAGCCAAGCGATATGAGCCTTCAGAGGTCGAAGATGCTTTGAAGGCTACCGAAGTCGCCAGCCAGCTTGGGATCCGCTGTCCTTCCGTACGGAAGATGATCAAGAACCAAGTGAGTGCTTACACTTTTATGGATCGGGTGGAGGGAACTACGTTGGTCGTCGTCTGGAAGGAACTGGGCTGGTTCATGACAGTTAAGCTTGGTCTGCAGCTTCGCCGTTTCGTGAAAATTCTCAGATCTGTTACCTCACCAACTGCCGGATCGCTTGCGACAGGCGAATGTAGGTCTTTCTGGCTAGAAGATCGCTACGGTCTTCCGGCGTATTCTGGCCCAGACGAAATTGCCCACTTCTTCCGATTCTGGGCGAACTTTACGTCTATGCGGCGAGCGATGCAAGCATCAAAGCAACCTCAAGTACCGGATTCACCAGATTACACTATTGGGATGCCAATGACCATCGAGCCATTCGTCTTGACTCATCATGATCTTACGCCACGCAACCTTTTAGTTTCCTTCTGGTCAGCTTTCGCTCCTTGACTGGGATCTGGCTGGTTTTTATCCTGTTACCTTCGAGTACGCATCTATGTACAATTTCAACATTCCTCAGGACTGGGGTTTGATGGCCCGTTTACGGTGGCATCTATTTGCGTGGATCGGGGTCGGCTATCATGAGGCTGACGCTCGCCTGCTACGAAATATGCGTTCTAAATTCACACGATTCCCCAACGGAAGGAGATACGAACTGTTGGAAAGAGGAGGTCCCTCAAGATACCCTGTAAACTGATTTTATGAACTCCCCAGAGTTTAAGTTCGTTCTCAATCGAGGGTAAGGCACTAGGTTATGTACTGCGCAATACGATACTGTATTATACTACGACTGCTGGCCCGAGCCGCGCTAACGCGTCATCCCTCACTTACCCTCTTTTCACTCTCAAGAAACACTCAACTTCTGAAAATCAAAGAGGTCTGCTTGTGGCGCATACCTCCCACCATGATGTCGAGTCTACAGATACCATCCGTTACAATAGTGAGTGTGCCCTCAGCTGATGTTGTGCATACGAGAAGCTAATAATCTCGCTAATTCTAGGAAGATTTGCAGGCCTTTCAAGCGAAGCATTTTCCCAGTAGTCAACAAGTCACTTCCCTCGACTACACCTATAGCGAGGCTGTCGATGAAGATGTTGATGATGAGGACGACCTTGGCTACTACCCAGATGGCGTGAAGCGTACTCTTACGGACGAGCAGATCCGCATTTTTAGACATAGTGAAATCCACTCATTACTTCGCCAGAAGCAACTACGAGAAGAGGAGCTGGCTGAGGAGGCCCGTGAATTAACACCTGTGAGGCAAGTCGCTGGGGATGTTGCTGAAGGGCAAGGAGACATGCCCTCTGGTATTCCGGACGGTAAACAGGAGAAGATACCCGAGGCGAAAGAGGGTACTGGCTTGGAGCCAAATGAGGCACAGGATTCGTCGATAATGAAGCGGTCGGATGAGGCAGGCTCACGAGAAAGACTTGATTATGATGACAATGCTACAGTGCAGCGGGAAGCACATGCGCGTGGTTCGAACTTTGCTGGACGCAGAATCATATCCTACGATGATTGAGAACGCTTTGCGTCGTCAAACAGGCATATGACATTCTGCAACGGCTGGCTTTTGGCCTTGACATTCCTCATGCCAGATTTTCTTCGTCGTCACCGTTCTACAATAGAATTGGAGACTTCACCCAACTCGCGTGAGTGCCCCTTTTTGTGCATACTTGCTTTCTTTTCTGTGATGAAATTTTTGTATCAGTCATCCTTAGTCGGACTGTCATACCATCTTCGGGTGTGTAAGACTCTGACGACTTTAATCTTCTCTCTGACATTACTATGTCCGCAGCCGGTTCTGCTTTTGTCGTTGTTAAAGCCATCAAACTAATTATCCGAGTTATTTAGAATTTGGCCCATCATTTGGGGAGCAAAAAGAGCCTGCAATGATCCTCCGTTCAGCCAACAGGCAGCAATACAGTGCTACCTGGACAACCACTGAGTTAGCGGTCAACGCTGTTAACGAGTAGACGTCGCAGGCAACACGCGGCTGGGAACGTTGTCGTGTCTGCAAGACGCAATAATTGGCTGGACCAGAATTTAGCAGCCATTTCATTTCTGGATGTGGTTGGAGTCAACGCCAGACGGGCTCTTGATGCTGTTTTCCAGGGTCATGTTTTCCAGGGCCATCCTGTGATACCCTTGTCCTTCAGGAAGGCACGATGAACTTTGCGGCAGTAAATAATGATTCATTGCGGGCACTTATGATGAAGTTGGGTTTGCTTTTAGTCTTCCCACCTGCTATCAGCCCACAGTCCTCACAGAAGCGCCCCGGACTTACCACATTTGTGACTGTCTGCACAAGGGTCCCCCTTCTGAGGTTTACGTTGAGGCGGCGTAGTTGGATGTACATTTTGTGAAGCTGATGTTTGACACACAGTCGGAGGATCGTCGTAACAGATGAGTGAGGTTGTGGTAACCTGTGAATATTCGATCTCTGGCGTGGGCTGGATACATTGAAAGGTTGGATAATAGTATATGTAACAGCCCATAGCCATGAACACTGCTAAACTTGCCGCGGTATGAGCCCTGCTCAGATACTACCTACGCACTGATCCAGTGGTGATCGACCTGGTGTGCATATATATATATATATATATATATATATATATATATAGATGTAAAAAGAATAGTATGAAGGAGAAATAGCTGTGTTGTTCCATTTTTTGACTTCTGCACTTGCTCTCAGTATATCCCGACATCTCGGCAGTAATCGAACGTCATTTCACCATTACTGCTTCCTCCCAGAGAGGATGAGCTAGGATAAAGTGTATCGTATACATCAATGCAAAATCGCCGCTGTTTTGCTTCTACATCGTTGTTATGCAGCACGTTATGCCAGCTGCACGGGTATTGCTCAGTATTGTACGGAGTATTGCTTTCTTTTTTGGTAAGTATTGCTAAGGCCACTTTTGTCCGTTGATCTGGGAGTCTTTCGACAGATTATCAGCCATGGTTACAGAGTGCATCATGGACGCATTCTCCTATTGCTAATCTGAAGGGTGAATGTAAGATTTCCCGATCTCGGATTCCAATCTCACTTCCTCGTGAGCGGTGTCGGACTATCCGTCCGGCTTGGTTGAGCGCTGCCTCGGGAGTAGAGCCCAGAATATCCCAATCCCGACCAACAAGCCAACCATAATCGGCTGCATAACCTGTACCCCTGTTTTTGAAGCGATTGCTCCAGTCATGAAGGGGAATGCAGCCGATCCAGCTTGTCCCAAGCTTGCTGTGAAGCCTATCGGCGTGGAAAGTTAGCAAAGCGGATTCAATCTCAGGGAAAAGGAAATATCCGGGGAACCAAAACGACATACCTAAAGCGCCGATATGGAGTTCCTGTGGAATGACTTTCGTCAGGACGTATAGTCCGACAGGGTAGAATGGACCGATAAAAAAGCCTGTTGATCATGTCAGCCACAGTCTCAAAGCGACGACTGGAAACTGCCGACTCGAAGAGCTACCCACCCAGAAGACAAACGGTGACTGCATTTGCGATAATGTTCGGTATCAGCCAGAACATGACCTGCAACGCTATGGCTAGAGCGACATAGATAAACACCATACGGCGCTCACCGAGTTTATGGGTGATGTCTGCGAGAAGGACCCGTCCGAGCGTGAACCCGGACCAGAACCCAGAGGCCACATAGCCTACTTTCTTGGGGTCCCCGTTTCTGACGGAGACGAGGAATTGCACCAGCCAGCCTGGGTGCTCTTGTATTAGCTCTTCTGCAAGCAGAGGGTGATGGCAAATCGGCTACATACCTCCCGACGCTACTTCAGCACCGACATATAGGAAGAAGAAGCCGTTAAAGATCCAGACCACTTTATTGGTTAGTGTGGCCTTCATTTCAGCATTGGCTGTGTCTTTGGCATTGGACACGTTTGGCTTAAATAGACCTCTCCGGAATGTCCATGCCAGGAGGACAATGTTGAGTACACCCATAACAAACGTCGCAAGGTAGTAATAGTGCCAGTACGGTGTTCGAGAGGCGATTGTATTTGCGATCAGCGGCGCGATAATTGTGCCCACTCCGTAAACAGCGTGGAGAATGCCGAGCCATCTATGAGCGTGCTTGACGGTCACAGTGAAGATATTCGCTTGTGCGTCTTGGAAAGCAACACCCATGCCGGTGAAGAAGAAGGCAGTCATGAAAAGAGGATATGGAGGTTTCCAGAACATGAGCACGTAACCGAAGCACTGGATCGTGGCTCCGACAACCAGTGTCCCGCCGCTTCCCAGTCTCGAGCAGACGTGGATGTTGGCGAAAGATGCCACTAGCCATCCGGCGAAATTGACCAGATAGACCATGGACACTTTCAGCAAGCCAATATCATAGGCGGGCTGAAGATATGGAATGAGCACACCAGTGGCAGCGTCTGCATATTGATTAGTCCGGATCCTTCTCACACACCAGTCATGCGCAACGACTTACCGTTCAAACCGGCCATCATCACCGCATAATTGGTGCTGATCAGTTTGCCAACGACCTGGCTAGCATCTTTCTGAGTGAAGAAAGACGAATTGTTCGAGGATGAGTTTTCCACATCCTCTACGCTGCTGTCATTCTGGTTCTCTTTGTCCATAGTCTACTGAAGGTTCTAGCCTGCAATGGCTTCGCGAGAGGGCTCCGGGCCATTGCTGGGAGGGCTGACAATTAAATATGCATGGTCAGTCCGTATCGATCCTCGTGCCCCTCTCACCTGAGTCATTGTGGTTAGTTAGGTTATCGCGGCTACATCGCGTAAGCCAGTTAAGCAAGTCGGACATGTGGCCGACGCTCCGCGTACCAATTTTGAGTGAGAAAAGAAAAAAATGGATGCAGCGCAGTTTTCCCCAACTCTGCATAGAAATTATGTCCCATGTTGAACAGTTCTTTTCTCAACTTCTCTTCAAGTGATTGTGTGGACATGCTTAACATTGACTGAAAAGCTGCAATTGCCCGTCACCGGGGTGTATGGAGGCAGGGAGTGACGACCCCGCAAAGCTTTGATGTGTGGGGTCACGCACCAGCCAAGTGTGCATGGCAGTTGATGCATCAATCTTTCACTTCGACAAAAGCAAGTAGCAGGGGAGTCATTACTGTCGTATGCTCACTTTTGTGGAGACGTAAGCACTCGAAAGCAAGCTGGATCATTCTTGATTCTGATATTGGTTGATTGACATCCCTGGTTCCAAGTTCCAACAAGTCCCTAGTTATGTGCTCTGCGTCTGCGACGAAGACATAGGCAGGTATTGACTGTATGGTCTGTTTGCAACTGTTTGGGTTTGTCTCTCTTTGACAATGTATGTTCGAAGTATGCCGGCTCTAGACGGTGCCTTGTGAGCAGCAAAGGCTGATGCCAGACTACTCTATATCGGCATAGCTGTTCCAAGGACTCCTCGAAAGATTAAGCACCTGGTAATCGGGATATACGTCTGTCAGTGTCCTCGGTTGTGGAGGCTC